ATGGAGGGTTTGTGATGAAGGGTTTGCCTCTTTCTGTATCTCTTTTAATCTTGCTGAGCTGGACCTGCACATATCATAGGTTCCTGTAACATTTGGTAGTTCAGCCTATATTATTATAGCTTAGTGATAAAAAGCATAAGTTGTAGGATCAGAAAACCTGGGATTGAAACCTGATTCTACTACTTACAGGCTGTATAACCTCGAGAAAGTAACTTAACCTCTCAGTCTTCAGTCTTCTGCTCTATGAAAAGGTGATAGTGATTTCTGCCTCAAGGAACTGCTGTCATAATTAAAGTAATGAAAGTATTTCAAAAACAGCCCATTATCTGTCATAATAGTTATTATGATCCTAACATAGACCATTTTCCTTTCAGGTTTTATTTGTCCTAGAAATAAGTCATTTGTCTCCTTCCTTCTTTATCAAAAGACACTACAGATAGTGATATCAATGAAAATGGTGGAGGCGGGAACTCCAAAATTCTGCCATTTCATAAAAGCAATGAAAAATCTGACAAAAACTGTCAGAATCAACTTTTTAGGAACTCTGTAAAATAATCAAAGACTTGCAACAACCAAGGGAGCACTTAGACTAGAAAAATGGCTTAGTGTCAGTAAGAATCCTAGTCTCTTTTCTAACTCCCCAGCCCAGTGGTAGCCATGAAAATAACAGCCAACATCCCTGGTACTGGAGGAAACAGAACAAATCTTGTTCACAATGAACTATTTGACCTCTCTGGTGGTTTCCTGGAAGGCTTTAGCACACTACCTGTGGGGAATTTGTTGAAAACATAGGCAAATGTCTTCATCACTGCTGTCTAAGATAATTAATATTGGTTGGGGCAAACAATACACTAACTAAAAGTCTTTGAAGAAAAACCTTGGGAATAAAATGTCCATAGAACTTTTAAAAGCTTATATTCCTGGGACTCTAAATGGCTACATACTTGACTGTGCACATACTTGGGAAAGACCAAAAAAGCCCTAAGCTTTCAGTCTTGGCTAACCTTGATGTTCTGCACAAACAGGAAGTAAGAGCTAAGGCAGAGTTGTAACCTGCCTGGCTGAGTGTTGAAGGCTTCCCTTAACAGGCAAACAGAATCACTTGGCAAAAAAAGAAGATATTTTATTTCTAGGTATTCAAGTAAATATCTTTCCAGTCACTAATGAACCACCAAGATAATAAAACAGAGATTTCAGTGACCAAACAACACAAAGAATACAGGCACAATACATAAACAAACAATAAAGACTATAACAAGCAACAGCAAGAACAAACACTGAGGATGTGAGAAATTTGATTTCCCGAGTTTTCATATTAAAATATTCAACTTGAGAGAAGAGGGAATACTTCCTAACTCATTTTATGAGGCCAACATTACCCTGATACCAAAACCAGGCAAAGACAACACACACGAAAAAAAGTTACAGGCCAATATCTCTGATGAATATAGATGCAAAAATCCTTAACAAAATACTAGCAAATTGAATATAATAGTACATTGAAAGGACAATACATTGTGACCAAGTGGGAATACAAGGATAGTTTAATATCTATAAAGCAATCAAGGTGATATACCACATTAACAAAATAAAACAAAAACCATATGATCATATCAATAGGGGCAAAAAAGCATTTGACAAAATACAATATCCATTTGTAATTAAAAAAAAACTCAAAAAAGTAAGTATAGAAGAAACATATCTCAACATAATAAAGTCTGTGTATTACAAACCCACAGCTAATATCATGCTCAATGATGAAAAGCTGAAAGCTTTTCCTCTAAGATCAGGAACAAGACAAAGATTCCCACTGTCACCACTGTTATTCCATTAGTACTGGAAGTCCAAGCCAGAGCAATCAGGCAAGAAAAAGAAATCGAAGGCATCTAAATTGGGAACAAAGAAGTAAAACTGTCACTATATGCAGATGACACAATTCTATATATAGAAAACCCTAAAGACTCCACAAAAAAAAATCTATTAGAAACAATGAGCAAATACAATAAAGTTGCAGAATATAAAATCAATATATAAAAATCTGTTACATTCCTATATAATAACACTGAACTATCAGAAAGAGAAATAAAGAAAACAATCCCATTTACACTCCCAAAAAAGAATAAAACACTTAGGAATAAACTTAACAAAAGAGATGAAGAACGTGTACACTGAAAACTATAAAGCATTGTTGAAAGAAATCAAAGACATAAATAAATGGAAAGATAGTCCATGTTCATGAATTAGAAGAATTAACATTGTTAAAATGGCCATATTATTTAGAACAATATATAGATTTAATGTAACCCCTATCAAGATCCCAACAGTATTTCTCACAGAAATAGAATCAAAAATCCTCATATTTGTAAGGAACCACAAAAGACCCTGAATAGCTAAAGCCATTCTGAGGGGGGAAAAACAAAGAACAGAGCCAGAGGTATCACACTTGCTGACTTCAAACTATATTACAAAGCTACAGTAATCAAAAACAGTATGGTATTGACCGAAAAACACACGTAAAAACCAATAGAACAGAAGTGAAAGCCTAGAGATAAACCCACATATATATGGGCAACGGATTTTCAATAAATCAGCAAAAAATATACAATGGAGAAAGAGAAGCCTCTTCAATAAATGGTGTTGGGAAAACTAGAAAGCCACATGCAAAAGAATGAAACTAGACTGCTATCTGACACCACACACAAAAATTAACTCAAAATGGACTGCGGACTTGAACATAAGCTCTGAAACAATAAGATACAAGGAAGAAAACATAGGAACTAAAATTAGAAACCTTGGCCTTGGGGCAGGGGGCTTTGTACAGTTGACCCCAAAGGAAAGGGAAATAAGAGCAAAAATAAAAGCTCTGCAGAGCTAAAGAAATCATCAATAAAACAAAAAGGCAATCAACAGAATAGGAGAAGATATTTGCAAATGATATCTCCAATAGGGGTTAATATCCAAAATTTATAAAGAACTCGTACAACTCAACAACAACAATCTGATTTTTAAAAAGAGCAGAGGACCTGAATAAACACTTTTCCAAGGAAGACATACAGATGGCCAAAAGATACATGAAAAAAAAATGCTCATCATTACTAGTTATAAGAGAAATGCAAATCTAAACCACAATATCACCTCACACTCATTAGAATGGCTATTACTAATAATACAAGAAATAACATGTTGGATAAGATGTGGAGAAAAGGGAACCCTTTGCAGTGCTGGTGGGAATGTAAATTAGTGCAGCCACTATGGCAAACAGTATGAAGGTTTCTCAAAAAGTTAAAAATAGAGCTACCATATTACTCAGCAATCCCTCTTCTGGGTACCTACCTGAAATTTTTGAAAACACTGTTTTATAAAGATATATGTACTCGTGTTCACTGTAGCAATATTTACAATAGCCAAGACATGGAAACAACCCAATTATCTTTTGATGGATGATTAGATAAAGAAGATGTGGTGTATATATGCAATAAAATACTACTCAGCCATAAAAAGATAAAATATTGCCATTTGCAACAACATGGATAGATCTTGAGAGTACTGTCCTAAGTAAAATAAGTGAGACAGAAAAGAATAAGAACCATATGATTTCACTCATGTGCTAAGTAAAATAAGTCAGACAGAAAAGAACAAGAACCATACGATTTCACTCACATGTGGGATATAAAACAAAAAGCAACAAATGAACAAAACAAAACAAATTCAAAGATACAGACAAGAGGATGGTGGTTACCAGCGGGGAAGGGGATGGGAAGGACAAAGAGGGTAAAGGGGGTCAAATACAAGGTGATGGAAGAAGACTTGACTTGGTGCTGAGCACAAAATACAGTACACAGAGATTATGTTATAAATTTGTATACCTAAAATTTGCATAATGTTATTAACTCAATAAATTTAATAATAAAAATTTTTCACATTTCCAGTTTTCAACAAAATATTATGAAACATAAAAAGATACTAGAGAGTATGAGCCATATATAGGAAAAAAGTAATCAGTAGAAACTGTGTCCAAGGAATCACAATGGTTGGACTTTCTAGACAGACTTTACCTATTTTAAATCTGTTAAAATGGCTAATGGAAACCATGTACAAAACTAAAAGAAAGCATTAGAACAATGTCTCACCAAATAGAGAATATTGATAAAGAGTTAGAAATTATAAAAGGATCCAAATTAAAATTCTAGAGTTGAAAAATACAATAACCAAAATGAAAATTCACTAGAGGGCCTCAAGAACAGATTCAAGAAGGCAGAAAAGGAAAAATACTTAAAGAGAGGTCAATTGAGACTATCCAGTCTAAAGAAAGAACAGAAACCTGTGTGACATCATCAGACATCAACATATGCATAATAAAAGTCCCAGAAAGAGAGAAAGGGGGCACGAAAGATATTTGAAGAAATAATAACTATAAACTCCAAATATGGATAAAATAATCTACACACCCAAGAAGCTGAAGCTCGGCAACCTTAATTAAAATAAACTCAAAGAGATCACACCTTGATGTATCATAATCAACCTGTAAAAAGCCAAAGACAAAGAGTATTGAAAGTGGCAAGAGAGAAGTAGCTCATCACATAAAAAAGGATCTTCAATAATGTTAATAACTGATTTCTCATCAGAAACCCTCAGAAACTGGAGACCAGAAAACAATGAAATAATATATTCAAAATGTTGAAAGGAGAAAATAATTGTAAACCAAAAATTCTATATTCATCAAACCCAATTTGGAAACATTAAAACATTCCTAAATAAACAAAAACTGAGAGTTTGTCACTAGTAGACCTATCTTACATGAAATGCTATACAGGGTCCTTCAGGTTGAAATGAAAGGACATTAGGTAACAATTCAAATCTACATGAGGAAATAAAGCACATCAATAAAGGTAACTATATAGGTAAACATAAATGACAATAAAAATGTATTTTTTGTTTATAACTTTTTTTCACTCATTTAAAAGGCAACTGCATAAAGCAATAATTACAAGTCTATGATGATGTAAGAATATAAAGATTTAATTCATAACAATAAAGAAGAGGGGCAGAGCAAAATTTTTGTAAACTATTGAAATTAGATTGATATTACTGTGAACTAGATTGCTAAAATTTTAAATGTTAATTTTAGTGCTCAGGGCAACTACTAGGAAAATAACTCAAAAAACAAATAGTAAAATAAATGATAAGAGAATTAAAATAACACACTAGAAAATATCCATTTAACACAAAAGAGGGTCAAAATAGAAGAATCGAAGAACAAAAAAAATACCCAAGACTATATAGAAAACAAAACAAAATGGTAGAATAAGTTCTTTTTATATTAAACATAAATGGATTTAACTCTTCAAATAAAAGGCTAGATTGGAAGAATTTTAAAAAGCACGATTCAACTATATGCTATCTACAAGATATTCACATTAGAATCAAAAACACAAAAAGGTTAAAAGTAAAAGAATGAGAAAAGGTACTCCATACTAAAGGAGAGCTGCAGTGACCATACTAATATCACACAAAATAGACTTGTAGACAAAATGTTAATAGAGATAAAAAAGGACATTATATAATAACAAAAGGGTGAATTCATGAAGAAGATATTATAAATGCATATTCACCTCAAAACAGAGCCTAAAAATATATGAGACAAAACTCATATAACTAAAGGGAAAAATATTCAACTCAACAATCATAGATGAAGACTTCAACACCACACTTTAAATAATGTATAGAACTGGATAGAAGATAAGCAAGGAAAAAGAAGACCTGAAAAACATTATAAACTAACTAGACCTAGCAGACATGTACCAACATTCCCCCAAATACCAGCAGAGTACACGTTAATCTCAAGAGCATATGGAACATTTTCCAGGGCAGGCCTCATATGAGACCACAAAACAAGTCTCAATAAATTTTGAAAAACTGAAATCATACAAAGTTCTCCAACCACAGTGGAATTAAATTATAAATGAATAACAGAAGGAAATATGAAAAATTCATAAATATGTGGAAATTAAACATCATGCTCTTAAATAACCACCGGGTCAAGGAAAAATTCAGAACAGAAATTAGAAAACACTTTGAGATGAATGAAAATAAAAACACAACATATTAATACTTTGGGGATACAGCTAAACCAGTGCTCAGAGGGGAATTTATAGGTGCAGAAATCAATGAAATGGGAGACTTGAAAAACAACAGAGAAAAATCAATGAAAAAAAAGTTCGTTCTTTAAAAAGATCAAGAAACCTTTAGCTAGACAAGTGACAATTACTTAGACTGACAAAGAAAATAAGAGAGAAAATTGAAATTACTAAAATCAGAAATGAAACAGAGGACATAGTATTGACTGATGGAAATGTTCTCTAATTAGATAGTGATGACGGTTGTACAACATTATAAATATACTAAAAACCATTGAATTGTACACTATAAAATAGTGAATTTTATGTTACATGAATTATATCTTATTTTTTAAATTGAAAAAAGATATTGTTACAATACTAGCTGTGGAAGTCATTAAAAAATAAAGGGTTTTTTTTTAAGACACTACAGAGTACAGAAGCTTTTCTAAAAATAAATATTGTCAGCCCTAATATGCATCCTCTAATTTCATTTCTCATATTCATTCTCTCAATCTTAATTTTGGATGAAAAAATGTTAGATCAAGAGAACAGATAGCAACTATATCTTTTTTTTTCACCTACCTATGTCATATTCAGAAAATGTCTAATCATCATAACTCTCTAGAAAGGCAATATGTCAAATTAGTCCTCATTACCAATCAATTAGAAATATTTATTGAGCACTTACATACATACAGCGCTACAACAGATGAGTGAGAGGGGCCTATAAACAAGAGGATTCACCATGTCCTCTAGATGTCTGTGGATTTGCTGTAATTATGCAAGGTATCAAGAACTAATATGAATGGTATGTTGGGGCTGTCAGTCAATGGAAGTGAGAATAGTTTAAGAAGGTCTCATAGCCGAGGTGGAATAGGAGGCTTATGGATTGATATAGAAACCAAACTGCTAGGTATGCTGGGAACAAATTATTTTCTAATACTCAGACTAAATTCTACTGAATTGTGCTTGAAGGTTTTAAAAATATATAGTTACAATTTTCAAGTGACATAAAATCTGACTCCCTCCTTGAGGTCAAGTTTTGATAATCTAGATGACATGCTCTAAGACTTACTAATAATCACCTAAGGGTTGGGTAAATCACTGAACACAGGCCTTTCCCAGCACCCGCTCATCAATAATGAAGTCATACACCACAGAGAATATACACATATATTCCCAAACCCCCTTCCACTCCCACAAAGCCAGAGTGCCTGCTCAAGAGGTTCTTATGAGAGCATAAGGAAATCTAGGCCCATATTTTACTAAATAACTATCCCTTGGTAGATCCCCGGAAGACCCATTTACTCTTTAAATGAATTAGGATAGCATTTCACTTCCTGGAATTGTTTATATTGTACTCAGAAGAATTATTCACATGGTACAGGAGTGGCAGAGGGCAGCCTATAAAACATATGGCCAATGCAAAACCGTTAATTGACCACAATATCCTTTCCAAATAAGGCAAGGTGTGACCTCAGACTACTCAAATGGCTCCAAGCAGCCACCACTACTAAATTGGGATTGGAATTGTAAAATGAAATCCATTTGCTGTCCTGGAATAGAATCTAGCCCACAGACTTTAAGTAAGCTCCTTCTTTAAGCCCTTAGTTATTTTTAAACCTTTGTCACTTGGATCATTTTAAGCTTTTGTGAACACAAACTTCCTATGGTAAAGACCAATTCCAAGAATTTTAAGTTTACTGGAGTTGACATTATTTGGGACAGTTCTGCCAAAATTCATAGGTTTGGTAGGTAACAGATATAAGTATATCACATGTGTCATAAGTATAACATTCCAAACACTTCAAAATCTACATCTGGTATTGTTATTTCTTAATAGAAACTAGTGAGGGTGGGAGAGGGATGGGCCAAACAGAAGTGAGGTGGGCAGGGAATGGGTAATAGTTGGAGGAGGAGGAAAACAGAAATAAGTAAGGAGCAAAGGGGACACAGGTCAGCAGACAGTAGAAGGGACTGACGTGCCAAAAATCAAAGTCTAGGCTATGACGGGAAAAAGAGAGAGCACCACATTCATCAGACAGGGCTTTCCTGGAACATACTTTGGATGCTTGAAAGCCATGAGGCATCGCTCATACTTTCCCACCATGCTCCAGGCCATGACCAGGCCATCGGTACTTCCGGAGAGGAGATGCCACTGGTCAAAACACAGACATTTCACAGCTCCCTCGTGACCGTTGAGAGTCTGCAAGGAAAGATGGCTCTGTTTTCAGCCCATCTTTAACTCAGATTGTTTCTTCTCTAAGGGCCAAAGCTGAAAGCTTCCTTTAGATGAATTCCACCATACTCTATCAATCTATGATTACCACTCACTTGGTATTTAACTAAGCTGACTTTACCTTTGCGCTAAGAAGACCTGTGGAATCCATGCCTCCCTCTCTACAGAACTCTCTCTCCAGCGAAAGAAGAATGTGATCAGGGGAAGGAATTATTCCTGGTAGGTCTGTGGCTGAGGCAGGCCCCATCTTCCTAGAGTACTACAGAGGGCCAGAATTCAGTATCCTCTGCTGACAGAAAGTGAAGGATCAGGTGTTCCATCTCCAACTCCTTACCAGGCCCCGGAGGGCACCTGGGGCATCTCTGTGCCTACAAATGCTGGCTAGAGTAGGTGACAAAAATATTGGTAGGAAAAATCTACCAGCCAAGCCAGCAGCTTCTCACTGTGATCTTGTGCTCCTGGCCCAGGGGGTTTTAAATCCAACAAGAATATTTGAAAGTATATGAACATTCAATCACTTTCAAGACAGCCAATGTTCTCATCAGAAAGTGAGGAGAAAAACCATTGTGACTTCGTTCATTCCCTTACCCCATGCCAGAATATTCTGGAAAAGGAATATTATCTCTACAGCTGTTTAAATATCCTGAGCCCATATATCATGTCCTTTTAGGGGAGGGCCTTCCCCTTCAGCTCTTTGGGACTGCCTTTCTGGTGACTGTAACTCAATTGCTCTAGGGTGGTCTGGCAGCTACATGGTGGGCAGACCATCAGTCTTCTCCAATCCATCACTACCAGTGTCCCATTCCCTCCAGTGCCCATCTCCCTCACCTTTACAAGCTGGGCTGTGACAACGTGCCACACTTTGATTATCCCTCGCTCACAGCTGCTCACAATGTAGGTATCACTGATCCTGGTGGCCAAGATGGGGTCTTTGTGTTTAAACGTCTTCAGGCACTTCCCTGTCTCTATATCCCACTCTGAAAGGGAGAGAGAGAGAGAGAAAGGTGGGGGTGGGGAGGAAGAAGGGGATGAAGGTGGGTTATGGTAGAGTTTCACACTCTATCACAGAAGCTAAGACTAACAGAGCCCATCAAATAAGACCCTAGTTGGCTTTTACCTGGCCTAGAACCCCTGCAGACTCACCAATAGCTCCACATACCTGATACACAGATGTCCCTAACCATGGGCTCTTGAGAGAGCCAGCAATGCCTAGATCTTGTCTCTGATCCTGGAACTTAGCCTTAGAGTCCAAGTGCTGGACAGCACATCAAGAAGACTCCTCCTCAAGCCTGAAAAATGCTTGCTATGGAGTAGATTTCAGGAAAACCATGGTATGTGTTTCATGGTGTCATTCTTCCCTGATGCTATTCTCATGACCCACAACTTCTATCCACCCCCCGAAAAAAAGAAAGCTGTCTACCTTCATTAACAATTTTAGATATTTCTGAATCTGACTTGAATTATGAGGATTGAGAGATTGTCACAGCTGAGGTTAGGTTTAATGCTGCCTCTACATAGATGGTGCTAAAGCAACTGCCTAGTATACTGAAAGTTGGGTGGATATGAGAATAATAGGTGGGTGGAAGAACAGAACTTAAAGGCAAAAATTGAAAATGGGCACCACAAATTCAGGGATGAGAACATTAAAGTCAACTTGATCATCCCCCAAAGTACCTCCCAGGCAACATCATGTATAACCTAAAACAAACTAACCATAGTTGATACTTATATCACACTAACAATGAGCCAGACATCATTCAAAGTGCTCAACATGTATTAACTCATCTTCCCAAGACAAGTACTATTATTATTCCCCACTATACAGATGTGGAAACTGAGGCATAGAGAGGTTCAGTAACCTGCTTAAGATCACACAAGCAGACTGAGCTGGGATTTAAACCCAGGGACTCTGGATCCAGAGGCCATGCTCTTAATCATGTATGCTAGAATAATTCTATCTAAGTATGCTTTTTTCCAATTCATTTTGCATATATATTGGCCCTTTTATCAAACTAAAAGTGTGAAAACTGAAAGATGAATTAAAAGAGTCACTGGTAAAGTGCTCTGGTTGAAAGAATTTTAAAAGTGGGAGTTACCTTTCAGGTCTCTAATTGTCTCTTTTTCCTACTATTTTGGTAACCCAGGTAGGTGGGAAGAGCCCAGGGGAAACAAGAAAGCTGGTAGCCAGGGTCAAGACTAGGGTAAGAGAGATCTTTTGATATTTTTTATCATGTATTTTGTGCATTAATTTTGACTTTTTAAATATTGCACTTAAATATATATCTTGATTACTGAGATTTTTTGGTGTCCCCTTAAGTTTTACACCTGAGGTGAAGGCCTAACTCTTTTTGCCTTTGTTCTCGCCTACCTGCAGCCCCACAAGACTCTCAAGCTTGGAGACCTCATCTGCCTTTCTATATTCAGACCCTCACCTCACCCTTTCATCCTTTCTGCCCTACTTCCCAAAGCAATCATGGCAACAAAACTTTCATTCAGGTTAAGGAGGGCAAAGAGGTAGGGAGTATTTTAAGCAGTGTTTGTTTAAATATTTGAGCGTTTGCATATGTTGCACCACTCTGTTCTCTCTTTCTCATATTTTTTCTCCACCTACTTCTAACATGCTGTGGTTTCCTGGGTCCCTTGCTTCTCTTCTCTTTTCACTCTTTCTCCCTTATTTGCAAGGGAAATCTCATCCATACCTGGGGCTTCCAACTTTCATTATAATTGATAACCACCAAATCAACATACCTGGAGCTCCAAACATATAGAGCCACACCTGCATCTTCCTCCTGCAATCCTCACCTGGATATCCTCAGGAATCCCATACTCAATGTATTAGCTCTCTATTGCTGCTGTAACAAATTCCCACAAGCTTAGTGACTGGAAACAACACAAATTTATTATCTTACAGAAATCCAACATGACCTCACAAGGCTAAAATCAAGGTGTCAACAGGGCTCTGTTCCTTTATGGATACTCTGGGAAAGGGGACCCATTGCCTTGCCTTTTCTACCTTCTAGGGGTCACCCACATTCCTTGATTCATGTCTCCCTTCCTCCATCTTCAAGCCAGTAATATCGTAGTTCTCTGACCATTCTTTTATAGTCACATCTCCCTTTGATCATAGACAAGAAAGTTTCCATCTTTAAGGGTCCATATGATTATTCATGGACCCACACTGATAACCAAAGATAATTTCCCTATTTTAAGGTCCTTAGTTTAATCACATTTGTAAAATCCCCTTTGCCATGCAAGGTAACATAGTCACGGGTTCCAGGGAGTAAGATGTGAATATCTTTGGTCAGCCATTATTCTGCCTACCACACTCAACATGTCCAAAATTGAAGTCGTCACCTTCTCCCCCATTCCTCCCCCTACCCTACTATTCCTCTGTTGCTCCTATTCCCATTAGTTGCACTTGCATATATCCAGTGACCTGAGGTTAAAAATCTGGCCTCATCATTTGCCCTTCTATCTTTCTCATTTTTCATATCCAATTGGTGGTGAAGTCCTGTCAATTCTTCTATAAATCTCCATTCAGTGAGTCTGTGCCATATGATGTAAACTTACATCCATCTGAGTTTCTTCACTTTTGCCTATTCTTCGAGAGAATGAAAACATGAAAACACCACAGTTCTCTAGACTAAGTAGTGTTTTAACTTGTCCCTTGTCTCCACATAGCCACCCCTGTCAAAATCCTTCTGCCACACTATCACTAGAGTTATCTTTCTCAAATACACATATGGTCATGTCAGTCCTCTGGTTAAAATTCATCTATAGCTTCCCATATCCTATAAGATAAAGTTCAATTTCTTACAATGATGCAGAAGGCCCTTGATAATCTGGCTACAAACAAACTTATCTTCAACTCTACATGCTGCTGTCCAGCCATACCAAACAAGAGTAAATTCCCTGAATATTCCATCTTCTTCAACGTTCTGTGAATTTGCCTGAGTAGAACATCCTCCACTCTCCCTCTGCCCTTAGAACTACTCATTCTCAAGACCATTCTCAAGTAGCGCCCCTTCTGTGATGCTTTCCCTTTTACTCTTACTTCTATGGTTCCTTAGAACTCTGCATGTTGGTTAGAAGCACATGATTTAGAGTCAGGCAGCCCTCATTTCAAATCTCCACTCTACCACTTAGTAGCTTCGATTTGGGGACAGTTGGTTTTTTTCTCTTGAATTTTGGATTCCTCATCTGCATTTACCTCATAGGGTTCTTGTGAGGGTTAATAAGATAATATTAATATAAGATAATAAGATAAAGCACCTATAGCAGTCACAAAGTTAGTAGTAAATAAATGGCAGCTGTTATTATACACATATTTTTATATCTCCATTATATATTTATATATCTATCTCCATTAGGAAACTATGAGCCTCCTGAGGAAATAAAAAGCCATATCAAAAAGGCAATATATTCATATTTTTCCTTAACACCTAGCACAGTATCTAGCATAGTGTAAGTATTCAACAAATAGTTGTCAAAAAATGGATCAATGATATATGGATAGGAAGAAAGATAAATAAAAGAATGACTGCCTAGATAAAGGAGCAAAACATGTATTTTGGCAACCCATCAAATTGAGGAAACTTCTTAGAAAGTTTAAAGTATTTCTTTCTCACCTTTCACCTGGCAATCTCTTGATCCAGATACCAGCTTGTTCTTATATAAATCCATGCAAGTGATTGTTCCCTGGTGGCCGTTGAAGATTCGTATGCAAGCCCCGCTTTTCAGATCCCAATATCTGCAGAAATCAGGCCAAAAAAAATGTTTTTGAGATTTTCTGAGTGCCCAAGGGATCATACTGTGTAGAATTCCTTTAGATCAGTAAGTAGTTAGTTAGAAGGAGGCAAAATTTTATGGTTAAGATCAGAGGCCTGGATTTGAATCCCAGTCTCAGCATCTATTAATGTATAACTCTGGGAACTTTACTTAATTTCTGTGTAAGCTTCATTTCTTCATTGATAAAATGGAAATGATAATAGAAGTAGTTACCACATAGAGTTTTTGTGAAGCATTAAGTACATGAATGCAATGATTGTCACTTGAGCTTATTTCCACCCCTAGGGGACTTTTGACAATGTCTGGAGACATTTTTGATTGTCACAAGTGAGAAAGGAGTTATTACTGGTATATAGTGTGTAGAGTTCAAGGATGCTGCTAAATATCCTACAGTGCACGGAACAGCACCACACAAAGAATTCTCCAGCTTCAAATTTCAATAGTGCTGAAGTTGAGAGACCCTGCATTAATAGATGTAACATTAGAACATTGACTAACATGCAGAAAATTCTTAATAAATATTAGTTGGTATTAGGTAGAAGTTGGTATTAGGTCATTCCCTGGAATGACCACCAGGCCTAGAATTCATGGCACTGATTCAACAGTAGAGCTGATCTTCAAACAGGAACAACAGAATAATTAACTACAACCACTTAGACCCAAAATATTCTATGTATATTTATAAAGCACATCTAAAAGATATATGGAAACACGTACGAGTCACACTGTTTTTTAATAAGCAAACTTGCTTGAGGTCTCTCAATTATCATTAATACAGACTCCCACTTCTGCCAGATTGCTTTTATGACAGGTCAAAGTGTAATGTTAAGATAATGGGCTCTGGAGCCAGGATGCCTGAGGTCCAATCTCAGGTCCATCACTTATTAACTGTGTGATCTTGGGTAAGTTAGGGAACCACTCTGTACCTCAGTTCTCCATCTGTAAATGATGGAGATAATAATGGTATTTACCTCATAGAGTTATTATTAAACTTGGCACATAATAAATGGTTAATAAATGTTTCTTTTGTTTTTCTTCGAATGTGTTAAGCTTTTTCTTCAATTATTCCCAAATGTCCTATGGCCTTACCTGTTTGTCGAAGCCTACTACGCACCCACAGTATGTTTAACGATGTCCCAGAGGTCTGAAAAAAACATGTTCTAAATTTCTGTTTTTAACAACATGGTCAATCATATGTCCAGGTTGTGTTTCTTAACTTATGCAGAAATGATATTTGATAAATACTTTTAGAAAAAACAGAAATAAAATAAATTTCCTTGATTTAGTAAACTTATAAACCAAAGTCATAACAGCAAGTAATGTGCTTAAAAGAGAAGCTATAGGTATTCTCCCTTCAAAAAAGGGAACAAGATACAGATGCCTGCTCTCACAGCTACAGCTTAAACTAGAAGGCCTAGGCCAAGTTAGAATGATAGAAAAAAATAATAATATACTAATAATATAAGTATTAGAAATAATATAATATATTGTCATTTCCAGTTGATAAGATCATCTACATAAAAAAACCAAATCAACACATTTACTTTTAGAATTAAGACAGGTTATCAAAGTTGCTGAATACAAAATCAACCGACAAAAATCAATATCATTTCTCTATAGTAGTAACAACCAATTTGAAAATATAAACAAAAATAAGATACCATTCACAATAGCAATAAAATTATAAAGTTTATAGGTATTAAATAAGAATATACAAGACTTTTATAAAGCAAATTTTAAAGCTCTAAGAACAAAGAAATAAATGTGTTGCACAAGTTAATCTATAAATTCAATGCAACCCCAATCAAGTCTAGTTAGGTTTTTAAGTTGACAAACTTACTCTAAAAACTCAAAAAATATATGCCATAGCTAAGTTACATAAAAAAGAGAGTAGAACTTGCCCCACTATCATATATTAAAACATTCTTTAAACTAAAAACAGTTTTGTTTTAATAAAAATTTAAAAAACAAGGTGGTCCCAATCAAAATCCCAGCACGTTATTTTGTAGATATTAACAGACTTATTCTAATGTTTATATCAAGAGACATAAAACTCAGAATTGCTAACACAATATCAAAGGAAAGGAACAAAGTTGGAGGACTGATATTACTCAATGTCAAGACTTACTATAAAGTTTCAATAATTTAAGATACTGTGGTATTGGTGAAAGAATAAACGAATAGATCAATAGAAAGGAATAGAGAGCCCAGAAATAGACACACATATAGTTAACTGATTGTAAAGGCAATACAGTGGAGCAAAAATAGTCTTTTCAACAAATAGTGCTGAAACAACTGGATATCCACATGCAAAAAAGGAATTTAAAAACAGACTTTATAGCTTTCACAAAAATTAACTCAAAATGGAGCATAGACTTAAATGTAAAACCCAAAACTATAAAATTCCTAAAAGATAGCATAGGAGAAAATTAGATGACCTTGGATGTGGCAATGACTTTTTAGATACAACACCAAAGGCATAATCCATGAAAAAAATATTTGATAGGCTGGACTTTATTAAAATTAAAAATATCTGCTCTGCAAAAGACGATGTCAAGGAAATGTGAAGAAAAGCCACAGACTGGAAGAAAAATATTTGCAAAAGACACATCTGATAAAGGACTGATATATAAAAAGCTCTTAAAACTCAACAATAAAAAAAACAAACAACTCAATTAAAAAATTAGTCAAAGATCTTGGACAACTCACCAAAGAAGATACATAGATGACAAATAAGCACATGAAAAGATGCTCCACAGCATAGATAATCAGAGAAACACAAAATAAAACAATAAGATACCCCTACAGACCTATTAGAATAGTCAAAATCCAGAACGCTGACAACATCAAACGCTGGTGAGGATATAAAGTAACAGGAACTCTCATTCATTGTTGATGGGGATATAGAATAATACAGTCACTTTAGAAGACAATTGGTGGTTTCTTACAAAACTAAACATACTTTCACCATATGATCCAGCAGTCATGCTCCTTGTTATTTACCCAAAGGAGTTGAAAAAATATCCACAAAAACACCTGCACACAGATGTTTATAGCAGCTTTATTCATAATTGCCAAAACTCAGAAGCAATCAAGATGTCCTTCAGTAGGTGAATGAATAAATAAACTGTGGTATATCCAGACAATGGAATATCTTTCAGTGTGAAAGAAAAACAATCTATCAAGCCATGAAAAGACATAGAGGAAATTTAAATGCATATTACTAAGTGAAAGAGACCAATCTGAAAAGGCTATCTACTGTATGATTCCAATTATTTGACATTCTGGAAAAGGCACAGTTATGGAGAGTAAAAATATCAGTGGTTGCTAGATGTTGGGGTAAGAAGGATGAATAGGCAGAACACATTTTTAGGGCAATGAAAATACCCTGTATGATACTATAATGATAGATACATGTCATATGTTTGTCCAAATTCAAAAAGTGTAAAACACCAAGAGTGAACCCTAAGGTAAACTATGAACTTTGAGTTATTATGATGAGTCTGTAAGTTCATCAATTATAACAAATATATCACTCTACTGGAGGATGTTGATAATGGGGGAGGATATGCATGTATGGAAACAGAGGATAGGTGAGGAATCTCAGTACCTTCTGCTCAGTTTTGCTGTAACCTAAAACTGCTCTATAAAAATTAAGTCTTTAAAATAAAAAAAAAAAGGTGGTTTTGATGCAAAAACAGAAAAACAAACCAATGGTTTAGAATAGTGAGCTCACAGAGACAATCTCATGTACACATGAGAAATTATTGTGTGATAAAGATGGCACCATAAATCAATGAAGAAAATGCCAGGTTATTTAGTAGTTGCTGTGGGGAAAACTGCTCACTTTATTTAAAAAGAAACAAGTAAAATGAAAATTCTATTTAATACCACATACAAAGTCGGACTGCAAATAGAGTAAAGAACTTAATGCAAAAGGTAAAACTATAAAGTTAATAGAAGAAAATATTTAAAAATATCTTTGTGACCTTGATTTTGAAAGAATCACAGACACAAGGCCAAAAAAATTATAAACTGATTGATTTTATTACATCAATATTAAGAATTTTTATTTAACAAAAGATACTATAAACAAAGTTAATATGTTGATTAAAAAAATAGAAGATAATACTTGTAATTTTAAAATTGACAAGGGACTAACATATAGAAGAAAATACAAGGAACTGCAAATTAATAAGAAAATCAGAGTAGCCCCAATAGAAAAATGGGCAAAAGACATAATCAGGCAGTTTTAAAAAGAGGAAGGCCCAAAAGTTAATAAGCAAACTTATTACTTGCTACTTAGTCAAATTAAGTACCACCTATCTTAAGTCTCAGCAAGTCTTCTCCTGGGCACATATCCCTAAGACATCTCCCAACGCCCATGAAAGGACATGCTGATCAATACAGCATTATTTGAACTCAAACTAGTGTCTATCCCTGGGGAAGCAAGTAGGTAAAATGTACATATGCAGACCTTGGAGTATGATACAACACTTAAAATCAACTGACTGGTGGGTAACATGGATGAATCTTTGAAACATAAGGTGAGGTACAAAAGTTAGAAACCAAGAGAATTTAAAATAACACTATAAATGAAAATTTTTATAATTATACAAAATATATCAACACACATTTTAAAGGAACATAAAAAAATAAATAAAAAAGAAACACATGAAGAAAGATAAGAATAGGAGTGAAAATAGAGATAAAATATAATTAATAAATAAATAAACTAGGAATGGAGCCTTGTACAAACCAATAATTATGACATAACAGGGAAGTATAATCCACTCAATCCTCTGCACCTGAGGTCTGGAAAAGAATGAAAAAAATCTCCCTCTTTCTTCCCCACCAAAAAAGATTTAGATAGAAGCACCAAAGTCTAAGAAAGGCTAAAACATTTGAAGAAGAAGGAGAGGCAGGGATTTGTCCTACCAGATATAAAGCCTTTAAAAATGAAAGTAAAGACAATATGGTATTAACCAACAATAGTCAAACAGACAAATGAAATAGAGTAGAGAACACAAAATTTAAATATATGGACACTTGCCTTATCAGAATGCAAGTAGTACAGACCAATGGGGAAAAGGATAGTTTTTTTCATAAATGATACTCAGATAATTAAATTTCCAAATGAAGAAAGGAAACAAAAAGGTAATTGGACCCTTACCACAGATGATAACTAAAGTTAGTTTTGGGTAGATTTAATATCTAAAGATGAAAGGCAAACCTATTTTCAAAAAAAAAAAAACTTTTAAAAAGTTACTATGGAGAATGTCTTCATGGCTTTAAGGTAAGGAAGGGTATCTTAAACATGTCAAATTGACAGAGTCTATTACATTAAAGTTAATGATTTCTGTACATCAAAAGACACCACAGTGAAAAGATGAGTCTTAAATCAGAAGAACAAATATACAACACAAAAATAAACAAGAATTAGTATCCAGAAAATATAAAAAACTCCTATAAATCAATAAGGAAAGGATAAAAGAATCAACAGAAAAAAAAATGGGGTAAACCAAAGAAAAAGAAAAAAGATAAATGATGACGACAAATAACTGAACAGGAATTTCATAGAAGAGGAAACACAAATGGCTCTAAAACATATTGTGATAATTAATTTTATGTGTCAACTTAGAGGATGTTTTTGGACGAGATTAACATTTAAATTGGTAAACTGTGACTAAAGCAGATTTCTCTCCATAACGCAAGAGGGAGATGGCCTGTAGACTTCATCTGCACCCTCAGCTCTCTTGGGTCTCCAGCTTGCCAGCCCACGCTGCATATTTTAGACTTTCCAGGCTCCATAATTACATGAGACAATTTCTTGTAACAAATCTCTCTCTATAGATAGATAGATAGATAGATAGATAGATAGATAGTAGATAGATAGATAGATAGATAGATAGATAGATAGATAGATAGGTATAGGTATAAATATATATATATATATATATACACACATACCGGTTCTGTTTCTCTGAAGAACCCTGACTCATATACACATGAAAAGATGTTCAACCTCATTAGTAATCAGTAAAGTTAAAACTGAAACTACAATGAGGATTTTTTAATACCCATTAGATTGGCAAGTTTTTGGCAAATTGGCAAATATTCAACACTGACAATACTAAGTGTTCATGAAGATTTATAAGGGATCTTCTCATACCCTGCCGATGGAAGTGTGAGTAACTACAACCACTTTGGAAAACAATTTAATACTCCTACCTAGGAAAAAATTCCACTACTAAGAATATACTTTAAAAAAAAAAAAACTCATGCACTCCAGGTAACGATACTGTACTATATATATGAAAATTGCTAAGAGAGTAGATCTTAAAAGTTCTCATCACACACACACACACACACACACACACACACACACACAAATTTTAACTATCTGTGGTGATGGCTATAACTAAACTTACCATGATAATCATTTTGCAATATATACATATATCAAATCATTATGTTGTACACCTAAAACTAAAATGTCATCTGCCAATTATATCTCAATAAAAAAAATTTTAACTCATGTACGTGGGCACCGGGAGACAAATCCAAGAACATTTATGGCATGCTCTTTGAAAGAATTTTAAAAAACTAGAAATATCCATTAACAGAAGAATAAGTAAGTGAGTTATGGTATATTTATCCAATAAAATACTGTATCTCTGTGAAAATAAATTCATTACTGCTATCTACATCATATGAATGAATCTCAAAATCATAGTTCAGTGCAAGAATCAAGTACAGATGAATTCTTAAAACACAATTCCATTGCTGTTAAGTTCAAAAATGGACAAAAGTAACAGATATATTTAGAGATAAATAGGTAGCAACACTATAAAGAAATTTATTTTAAAAATACAAGGGAGTAATTACTATAGAATTACAATAACATCATCTCTGGTTGGGAGGAAGAAAGAGGCAATAGGGGAAAGGCACTAAGGGGATTTAAAAATGATAATGTTCTATTTCTTGGCCTGAGTAATGAGTACATGGGTTTTTATTATATTGTTTTAAAATATATATACATATACATTTTAACACTATTTTGCTTCCATACCATATTTTGTACCCACAAAAAATTACTTTTCTCTGAAGGAAACTATAAAAAGAAATATAAATTTTGCCTTCACCTAAGAATGCTAAAAAAGACACTTTCTGACTCAAATAGAATCAGAAAGAAAATAGACCTGATAATCATTATATGTCTATCTCATATAAAGTTTAAACAACATACAAACATATAAGGTTTTTATTTTGCCAAGAATAAATGTTGTGGGTTATTTTAGAAGTCAGTATCATTTAGAATAACTTTTCAATAAACGAAAAAAGAAAAAAAGGAAAAAGCATGTGTGCTTCCTCCATAGGCTGACTTGAAGCTCTGGGTGGAGTATGTACCACAACTTTCTAGGAACTCTCACCTGATACTCAGGTCATAACTCCCACTCAGCAGAAAGTTTTCATCCTCACACAAGAAGAGGGCGCGGACACTCCCAGCATGGCCTCGGAACTCAATGGGTATCTCCTTTACTTGTAAGATGTCCAGAAGCTGAATCTTCCGATTAGATGACACAGCTACCAAATCTCCCCCAGAATAGTGGATGATTCTATTTCTGTCCCACCTGAGTTGCCGGGAAAAGGATGATCCATGAAAGAAGAGTTAGATTCCTGCCTGGAACTCAGCACAATGGCTTTCATCTTCAGGTACAATGGAAAATTTAGGGCCTTCCAAAAGGGAAAATAGCAGAAGGCAAGGCCTAATACTAATGGGCCCTAATGGATCCCTAACTCATAACATAACAAAAAAATCCATTTTCGGTAGATTTAAAACCTAAAGACAAAAGGCAAATCTAAAATGATAAAATAAAATAAAATTCTGCTAATGTATATGATAAATCCTCAAGACAGAGAATAGAGTATGAAGTATTTCCCAAACTTATTTGACTACGGAAACCTTTTTTCATGAAAAAAACCTCACAGGAACAGAGTTGCAAAACCCTATCTATACCCACCGCATATCCCACTGTTCCTTTTTTATCTTTTTATCTTTTTTATAGTTTATCTTTAACCAATATCCAATGAGCATATATTAGTTTCAAAGTCCTGTGCTAATAGGAACCATGGGAAATACAAAGATGAGTAAGATATGGACTTTACCTTCAATGAGCTTGTAGTACATTAAACAGAACAAGTTGGATTAATTTTCTAACTTTATCCATGCAACCCCCGTAAGATTATCAGCAAATAAATAAAATATAAGAAAAACGACCAAATAACTTACTGCCCAAACATTTTTTACTGTGAAAGGAGACACTACTATTAATTATTCCAGGAACACAGAGTAAAGTGGGATTATTTCAGTAAACAGGGATGTACAGTCACTCTAAATATGAGGAGCAATTTTGTCCTCATTCCATTTGTCATATCTTGAGTTCAAGCAGTCATTATCTCTTTTAAAGAGCACTTACCACCATATTCATAAAAACTCAACTTTGCCTTTCCCCTATCTGCTCTATCTTCCCCTTACTGACTGATCAAGATGTAATTTGTTAGTATGATTCACAAAAGAGAGGCCTTCACATTCATGAATGAAGAGTGAAACCTAGGCCTAAAGAATGGCAGAAGAGTGAAACCTAGGCCTAAAGAATGGTTATTAAAGGGTCTTCTTATGGCATATCTAAGTGATGTCACACTATATAGTTTTCATAAATACCATTTTCATATTTAACATGGAAAGATATCCACAGTATTTTGCTTGAAGAGTTACAGAAATATGTATACTATAACCCCACTTCTATTTAAAATATGTATTTATGCATGCAAAGAAAAAAATGTATGATAGATATCGATACTAGTGCTGATTATCTCTAGATGACAAGATTATGTGAGATGTTTGCTTTTCTCTATACATTTTCTGGCATTTGGTGCATTTTTTCCCACTAAGCATATATTACTTCGAAAATTAGAATAAAGCAATAAAGGTACTTCAAAAAAAGTAAGATTTCGTGCATATAAATTGTACAAAAGATTGTTGGTCACTACAACCAAAATTTATAAGGGGAAAGTGTCCTCCACACAGTGCTGAGAATGATGCAAAATTCAAGCATCTCTTCTCCAAATAAGATCTCTTGTTAGTTTGGAGCTAGAGCTTGAGATGAGGAAGTGTTGCTTTTTCAAGTGAACAAGAGTCATGGAAATCCTAAGACGCCAGTGTGGATAATTCAAGGGTCATTGAAGACCTGAGCTCGGACTCCAGTACCTACATGTCAGAGAGAATGCGGATGTTGTAAGTCCCACAGAAGACATTTCTCTCCTCCATCTGGACCTGCTGGGTTTCCTGGTTCTGGTATGCAGTCCACAGGTTGTAGTCATTCTAACAAGGAAACACTTGGAGTCAAAGTACAGCAGCAACTTTACCTACACATCCCTTAGAGCAGCGGTCCCCAAACTTTTTGGCACCAGAGACTGTACTCCTACTACAATCTAATGCCTGATGATCTGAGGTAGAGCTAAGGTGGTGATGCTAGCACTGGGGAGCAGCTGCAAACAGAGACGAAGCTTCACTTGCTTGCCCACCCACTGCTCACCTCCTGCTGTGTGGTGCAGTTCCTAACAGGCCATGGACCAGTACCAGTCCATGGCCCAAGGTTTGGGGACCACTGCTCTAGAGTCTCCCCTGGCAAGGGCACAAAGGCCCATGGATTCTTCTTCTTCAGACTCTGGCTGCTGCTACGGGATGATGGAAGGGGCCAATGAACCAGCACTAAAGTAATCCTTGATTTAGAAAATATTGAGTCAAGGGTCCTAATTCTTCTTCTACCTCTGTGTTCTGATTCCATGAACTTTCAATGTTGCTGATAGCACAACTTTTCCAAAAATGAGCTCATGAAGGGTATGCTCACAAGTCAAGTCACAGGTTCCCTTTGACTGACCATTTCATAAAGGTGAGGGTTTCACATTTATATTGCATATACCTGACTGTACAAAGCATACTTGTGGGAACTCAAACCATATGTGAAATTACTGCTACACATTCTATGTATCTGTGCTTCTAAGTTTTCATACATCTACAACCTTAATTTCTCCTAAATGCTGCCTCACAAAGTATATCATTCACCCCACAAAGTATTCTCATTATTTTACAGATGAAATATCTGAGCCTCAGAGAGAAGAAATAAATTTTATCAAGTCTCAACAGTGGTGCTTGCCTTTCCTTTTCAATCATTCCTTCCTTCTTTCCTCCCTTTCTTCCTTTTTCCTCCCTGCTTCTCTCCCTCCCTTCATCATACACTTTCTGAGCAGCTATGGCATGCCAGGTATACTAAATTCTAGCATAGATGACTCAACTGGACTCCCAGTTCCATTCTTATTCCTAGCCATACTCTTCACTCTCAAACAGCATAAAATAATCACACTACCAGGAAACCAAAAACTTGGGTGAGATTTATCACAAAAGCAAAGAAGATCACACCATCATGTTTGTAACTGGAGTCCTCCTGAGGACATCTCTTCCTAAGTCTCCTTCCAAACCTTAGCTTTCTCTATGCTTGTAGACTTTCCAAGATACCTGCTTTCCTCAGCTCACATGCCTTCCAAATCTCTATCCAAGCACTGATATCCACCTAGAAGTCTCTCCCAGGAAAAATCTGTCTAACTGCCTGTCCTCCAGTGTCCAAGAAGTTCTGATGTCCTGCCTTGAATTAAATGAGGCTTCCTCGGCTTCTCAATCCAATTCTCTGGAATTCCTTGGCTCTTACTCATCAATTAAGTTTAAGAGCCTAGAAACTACATGGTAGAGTCACTGAGAGGAAAAAGACTTGAGTTCAAATCCCAGTTTTTCCACTGACCAGCTCTGAGAATTTGGGCAAGTTTTCTAACATCATGGCCTTATTTTCCACATCCGTAAACTGGGAAAAATGCTATCTACCCGACCTATAGTGAAGATCAAGTACATGATGTGTATAAAGCCCTTGGCAACATGCCTGGCACACTGTTTCAGCTCAGTATCCATTTCAATCAGCACCCCTCAAAAGCACTCACTTCCACCTTTTCCTAGCAGGTCCCTTAATTGCTTAATCTTTCTATTTCACGTGTTCTCTTCTGGTCTCCATACTGCATTACTTGTTTCTCTCTCTTTTCTTAAATTATACATTTCTAAAATATTAAACACTGTCTGGGTAGTCTTTTTTTTTTTCAGACAGTTACTAGCTACATCACCTAAGGAATAAGGGTGTTAGTTTTGTTATACTTAACAAAGCAACAGGCTTGGAAAAAGCAGATCAGCATTTAACTTGTATCTCTGTTACTCCACTAGCTAAGAGACCTGGAACTCTCTGTGCCTCAGTGTCTTCCTCCATAAAATGAGTTAATGGGCCAACTCAGAGATTTTTTTTTTAATTGCAGGTCAAATGAGGTAAATAAGAAAAGCATTTAAGAAAAGCAAATTATCACATGATAATTCAAATCCCTAGCTTCTTTTAAAAGCTCAGATGGTCTGGAAGATTGAGGTCCACAGTCTCCCAAGGCAATAAATAGCTGCAGTTGAGTAGAAACTGGCCCTCTGGATAGGAAGTAAACTCTCTAGGTCATCACAGTCCCACCATTCTTTACTGTTCACACTACCCATCTCACTCATTCATGGGACCTGTCTGGCATCTACGGACATATGAACTAGATAGTTTCTCTGGAGGCTTCTATATCTCAAATTATAATTTATCTAGTTTCCTTATGGGAAACTACAGTCTGACCAGCTCTCATTAAGTATTCTTTCAAGGCCCATTGAATAGATCTCAAAATAGAAGGCCTTTGAGCAGAGAGGAGGGAGCAGAAATCTAATGGTTTTAGAAATCTGATGGTTTTATGTTCTGCTGGATAGGCAGAACATAGAGCTCACGGTATTCTATCTACTCTTCATTATTGCTCAAGATTTGGTATGGAGGTCTACTGTTAATTAACTCTCCCCTTCAATCTAAGAATCAGAATGAACCTGTAAGTGAAAGGTGAGAAAGCTTAATTCATTCTAGACCCTGGACATTCTGTACCAGCCCTGGCGTTCCCTTCATGTCCTTCTCATTCCAGATCCACAGACTCTTACAGCCTCTAGATTCATGGACTGATAGCTATCACTGATGTTGTTCCTGGTTCTGAGATCTCTACTAGATGACTTGGTACCATGAACATAGGATATAGCTATGGGATTTGAAGTAAGGAAGAACCCTAAAAAGGACAATGACATCAATCACTCATTTAATGGATGAGGCATTTAAGGCTTAAAGAAAGGAAATGACTTGCTTAAGAACACATAGCACAGAACTGTTGTCTCCCTTAAGGAACATCACCTCCTATATCCAATATGTTCCCATTTCCTAAGTCCTATGTGAGGACCGAGCCTGGACTTCAACCTTCAACAGACAGTAAGAATGAGACATGCACAGTTATTTGTCTTCTCCCTTCCCTTCCCCCGCCCCCCGATGCCATCAGAACCCACCTTCATTCTCAGTTTCCATTTCTGATTTTTCACACGCACACGCTTTCCATCATCTGTCATTTTAGGAACTGGGATAAAAAGCTTGTTGGCGTAATTAGGATCTATTCCCCTTGTGTAGGATCCCTGGGGAAAAAAAATAACAGAAAATAGCCATTCTTGGTTCCTATTCTCTAAGAGAAGGGGGAAAAAAATCAGTGCTTGGCAAGATCTGAAAGATGGGTAAGCTCTGGCTAAGGAAACTCTGGGCCTGGCCACTTAGGCCCAGAGTAGGTGCAGACTGGCTTAAGGAGGATGATGATACCAAAGATATGTAGCAAGACCAGCAAGAGATGGTCAGCAGTTCCCAGCTTTCCAGAATATGGCCTGCCTCACAATGCCTGATTCTTCTCATCTTCTCTCTTCTATCTCTGCTGGAAAAAATCCAAGCTACCAAGAATCCATAATTTAAGGTTGGGCTTAAGGCAAGAAACAGAAGAAAAAATGCTAGAGATGGTTACTATCAGGAGGAAAATTGCATTTTAACCTAAAAATAAAGTTGGTTGCCTTGTAAACATCTGTGTACCACATAAGGCTGACCCAGAAATATACTCATGGCTTTCTCATTGCATAAACCACAATATAGCTCTTGGGGGAAAAATTTCCTGCTTTGTGAGGTTACAGAAAGGCTCTGCCTCTCTCTTCCTGAGAGGTTTCTATATATATTGTCCCTGCTAGACACACTGACAATGAGACAGTAAAGGGTGATTAACAGGGAGTCTACATTAAAAAGAAAGTGACTGCTGAAGAATACAAAGCAGCAAATGTGGAGCAGGAGGCCAGGTAAAGGTCAGGCCAACCTTAACAGGGAAATGAGGCTACTCTCCAGATTGTCCTCTCCCAGACAGGAAGTACCTGCAATAAGGCAATCTGGTTCTGAATAAATGTATGCATCGACAGGTCCATCTTGACTTGTTGTACCAATGTGGCCCAGTGCTGGCTCACAGAGGCACACTTGTGCAGGGTATTTTTATCCAGCATACCTGAAAAAAAAAAAGATAGACCTGGGAACCTTCAAACTGGAATGCAATGGGGAGATCTCTTGAGAAATCCCCCAATACACCCCACCATACTTAGAATATATTGGGAGAGGTGGATGGGCAGGTAACGGATGAAGTCCCGATATTTTCTGACTCCAGAAGACAGGTCTCTGACAGCATCCAGGTCATCCAACAGAGCAGAAGTGTATCTTGCCTTGGGCATGTCTGCTTTTCCAGAAAATAGCCTATTCATCTCACAAATACACTGGAATGAACTCTTCCCTTGGGACTCTAGAATGAAGCCAGAAAAAGGTGCATGGTTGGATTGTCTCTGTGGTAACTCCAGGACAGCAGAACTACCAGAGCCTGTCCTTGGGCCACTAGATTTTTGTTATTTCTTCTGTCAAACTGAAAATAGACACCCCCTAATACAAGTACTTTTCAACCTCCCCAACTCAGGGAGATGTCTGTCGTCTCAAAGCTTGTCTTGCTCAGACAAAATGGCATGGTGTCTGGAATTTCCTTTAAATCACACAAGAAAGCATTTTAAATGATTTTCAAAGATGAAATATAATAATGATAATTATCGAAGCTGGGTGGTGATTATGTGAATAGTTATTACACTGTTCTATCTACTTTTGAAATTTGAAATTTTCCATATAAAAAATGTTTTAGAATCTATGTGTTGTGTTTCTTGTAATTGTTTCATGTATATGTCTTGCTTTGAATACCAACTTAGCAGGGCCTTGAGGTCAGGACCCAAATTTCCCACTGCTTTTATTTCCTCCTTAAGACTGAATTCAATGATGCAAAAGTACCCATTGAATTTTTCAAAACCAGTAGGTTGAATTCAAGAGGTGCCCACCAAGTCAGAGGTCAGGGACTAGACAAGGGACTGTGGCCTGGGAAAGAGAGAGACTTCCAAAGAAGCCCTTAAGAGTTTCCTTCCTGGACTCTGTTTTCAGATGTCTCTCAGAGGCAGCATGCTGAAGAGGTGAAAACATGGACTTTAGGGTCATACTGACTGATGTTAATTTTTCCTTCTCCCCTTCCCAGATGTGAGATTAAATGAGGAAATAAATATCAGAGAGCTCAACAACCGTATGTGAAAAATGAATGTTAATTCTCCAAATCTGTTATTCCCAGATGTTATTGCCTTACCAGCCCCTCTGATTCCAATGGTACTTCCCAATCTCATACCTATTGGCTTTCTCACTACAAGCCGACTTACCAGTATTAGATGCTCCCCCCACATTTTCAAGCAAGTTTTCTTTTCCTGAATTTTTGGACAAAGGGAAGGATGTGTTCCTGGTTCTGGCTGCCCAGTAGACATGTGAGGTCTCAGACTTGGGGTCATAATCTTTCTCAGGGAAGAAAAACATATGATTAGAGTCTTGTTCGAGCCCTGAAAAACAAAAGATCAAGACAAGGTTACACTTTAAGTATATGTGTGGAGGAAAAGGCGATGAAGAGAAATGGTTTCATTTCTACCTGTTTCTTTTAAATCTACATAAAATGGACCAGGCCAGTTATGTCTGTTTTTATTTAGGACCTCTGAGTTTCTATGCAAAAATCACAGAAAGCTCATTAGATTTTGCCAACCCACCTCTAATACAAAATTTATCATAGCTCTGTACATGAGGAGAGAGTGTGAGAGTGCTATCGGCAGGAGCTGGAAGAGGGACTGCTTTTTCGAAGCTCTGGCTTAATTTTCTTCAATGATATAAATAATTAACCTTTCACCAAAACACAAAATTTAACTTTTTAAAAGAGAAGTTCCCCTAGGAAAAGGAGAAGTTTGCACAATCTTACTCCAATATAAGTAGTTGATTGCTATAGAGGGTGATAAAAGCCTTTGAGAGAACCACAAAATAATGCATGTGCTTGTACAAGCCAGGCATACGGTAGCCTGTCCTCGTTTGGGGTGGGGAATAGTGTTGCACAGTGGAAGGTATTCAGGAGGGGAGTCCTGGTTTTCAAACTCCTGCTAGGTGACCTATGCCAATTACTCAGATTCCCTGAACTTTGGATCCCTCATCTATAAAATTAAAGAGCCGGGCTGGTTGATCTCTAATCTATTTGTAGGATTCTCTAAAAGTGGCATACATCAGGATCTAATTGTCCCCTAGGTCAGGGGTCCCCAAGCCCCAGGCTGCAGACCAGTACTGGCCAGTGGCCTGTTAGGAACAGAGCCACACAGCAGGAGATGAGCGGCAGGTAGGCAAGCCAACAAAGCTTCATCTGCATTTTCAGCCACTCCTCAGCACTAGCATCACCACCTTAGTTCCACTTCAGATCATCAGGAATTAGATTCTCACAGGAACATTGATCCCTGGTGCCAAAAAGGTTGGAAACCACTGCTTAGGTTATCTATTCTTAAAATTCTTTTGGATACAATTAGTCTACAATGATAACGACAAATTAGGTCTCATGGACATTAGGAATTCCCATCCTTCAAGAGCTCAAACTGAAACTCTTCCATCTGACCTCTCCCTCCCAGCTTTCTCCCACCTTGACTAAACCTGTGCTTCCCCATGCTGGATCTTCTACTCCCAGATTCCCCTGGATCTTCTAACTCTTGCTTCCTTTCTGGTTTCTTTTGCTTCCTTGATTGAGCTGGCCAAACATTTCCAAGATCTCACCAACACCCTAGATCAATGGCTCTCAAAGCGAGGTCACCAGATCAGCAACGTTAGCAACAGCTGGGAACTTGTTAGAAATGCAACTTATCAGACCTGCTGAGTCAGGAGCTCTGAGAGAGCCCAGCCATCTGTGTTTTTATAAGCCCTACCAGGAATTCTAATACAAGCTAAAATTTGAGAACTACTGTGCTAACCTTATTTAGCCCTTTTGCTATCTCTAGCCTTGGATAAACTCCACTTCAAGCTTGGTTTTTATGTGTGAACAAGGAATATGGTGGAAGGAATGGAAAAAAAAAAAAAGCCTTAAGTTTTTACCTGTTGGTCTGGTTTCAGTGCAGTGCAAGGTGAAGGGCAAAACAATTCATCCCTCCCAAGCCCAGTCCAATCCCTAGCTCACTAATGCAGGAGCCATACCAGCCTTCAGTAATAGAAACTCAGACCAACCATTTCTGGGCCAAAGAAATGGAGAAATCTACTTTAAATGCTTGACAGTTAAAAGTTCTGTACAACTTTCTACATTTGCTATTTGTCATTTTCTAGAAGGAAGTCACATTCAACAATTTCTCTTTTGATAAACAAGATTGTGTGTCAGGACAAAGAACTCTATCCTGCCTTCTAGAAAATCCTCATCTGCATAAGTTTCACCATACCCCAGGTCTCTTTACAGGCTCCTGAAGCCTGGCTCCCTAGTCTTTGGGGCCCTCTGGTCTCCTCTACCTGTGTCCTTATTTACCTGAAATGTTCTTCCACTCTCTCTGAAACAGGACTCTGATGACATCAGCAGCAGTGAGCAATAACTTGGGGTCACACATTTGCAGCAGCAAGAGTGTATAATTTGCCTTAGTCCGGTGGGTGCTGTTCCCAAACCAGTACAATATCTCCCTCATCTTCTGTTCTAATGTTTTATCTAACATCTGGTTCAAGGAGGAATTCACGATTTTCCCCTCCTTCTTGCTGAGGTTGATCCGGGACCTGTTGTAGATGAAATCCTTCCCCTGTGTGGTCTGAAGGATATTTTGAAAATAGTGTAACAAATATAAGCTATCTAACTGCTCCAGGATGCTAACTAGAAACCTCCTCTGCGATATCTCGCCAATCCTTTTGAACCACTCTTTGGTAGAGAAGATCTTCCAAGCCAAGACACATGTTTCACACTTCTGGCACACGGGGACAGAATCGTTTCCCTTCTCACAGCAAAAATAGGGGGCATTCTTGAGCCTTGATTCCAGGTTTTCCATCATCGTGAGACGACCAGCTCATTTTATCCTTGCCTGTGGTCAACTCCACCAAACACCAGAGGAACAGGAGAAGGTGATAAATATCCCACTTGAGCCTTTTCTGTTATAAACATCTCCCAGAGAAAAAAATAAACCACTGAAATGGATGGAAAGCTTATCTCTCCCAGAAACTGCCGGTAGAAGTCTGGCTTTTTGTACTGACCTCCTAGGAAACATGGCTTTACCGTAAATCTCCTAAACCTGGTACTTTCATGTGGAGGCAGTTGCTGTATATTCTGAAAGAGCTGGTCATCTCATTTCTAGAACAATAAAAATAGTGTTAATCAAATTTAAGTAATATATAGACCACTTTTAAAGGAAAAAAAATATTATAGAGGCTAGTATTGAGCTTTAATTATTGTTATTGTTGTTAATGACTTTGAAATATTTCTGAATATAAAATTAGATGTAACTTCTTATGTTTATAGCTGTTTGGTTATAAGGTGGCTATCCCAATGATCCTGAACATGTTTACATTTATTTTCTTAACTTATCATCAAATAAAAACACAAATGTTTAATATAAATTTAAATTATTTAATTGCTTCAGAATGCAAACAGAAACCTCTTCAGGGAAGCACTCCTTAGAGGAAGAATTTTCATTGGGCCTAAGAATGTATTTGGGGACTTCCAACCTCAGTCACACACCCACCCTTGTGTCTAGGAGGCAGTACAGCTTAGCAGTGAAGAGTGTGGGGTCTGGGCCAGATTCCTGGGTTTGGACCCCAGCCCAGCTGCTTACTAGCTCTGTGCACACAAGTACATTACTTAATCCTCTCTGCTTTACTTCTCTCACCTGAAAAATTGAGACAACAGTAGTTCCTACTTCATAGAGTCTTTGTGAGGATTAAATGAGCTACTAAATGCAAATCACTTAGATGATTGCCTGGTACATATTTAGCCCTCAATAAATGCTAACGATTGTCCCATTGTTTTCATTGGTATCATTGTCATTGGAATCACTATTCTGAGAAGTCAAACAATCAGTGTCCACTAGGATGTTCTTATGTGTATATGTCTAAACAATGAGATGCATGTAAAGAAATAATGAGTGTGTATGTACGTAGTTTTTAAAAGAAAAATGACATGAACATGGCTTACCTATTTCACGAGATCTTTACCTTTTAGCTCTGGTTTATGATCCATTAGGAGTGATGACTTGGGCCATTAAAGCCAATCTATGGATGCACATGGCCACTAGAGGCTCCCCACAGAAAGCTTCTGTTGTCAGTTTTGACTCAAAAAGAGAGCAAGTGCTCTGGATTTTTCAAACATTTTTAATAGCGAAATCCTGTTTGCAAATTATATCTTCTGTAAAAGCTCATTACATAACAGAAAAAAGTGATATTATATCAGTATAAATTTATTTTATAAGTTCAAAAGTTTACTTTTGAACAAGTAAGGCAATTATTAGCAAGGCAATTATTGAGAACAATGGGGCTATCTGATGAAGACAAAACATTTAAACATGAAGTTAAAAATAACAAATACTATCTTCTATCGGCTTCAAAATCCACAAAGTTTAAATTATCAGCTGCTCCAAGGAACCTAGAATCCACAGAAAACAGTTTGAAAATCACTATTAAGTGCCGACATATCCAAGATGGATGTCTGTAAATAATTCTCAAAAGTTTCCACTATACACACACACACATAAACATATATGTGATGTGTTTATGTGTGTATATATACACAGAGAGAGAAAGAGAAAAGGCAAATCTAACAAAATGCTGAATAATTGGTGAATGTGAGTGAAGAGTATATGAATGTTCGTTCTTCTATTCTTTCAGCTTCTTATAGATCTAACATTTTTCAAAATAGCTAATAAATAATGCTAAATTGGAAAAAATTACTATAATAAACTACTACCAATTAATAGCCATCCTGCTCACCACTGCAGCCAAAATGCCCTGGCAAATGTTGGGCAGCCCAGGAAAGAGTTTTGAAGGTGCACTGAGGCCATTTTACTTCAGACAAGACTAGGTGCAAACACTGATTCTGGTACTTAGGAACCGTATGATGTTGAATAAGCTACCTGGCCTCTCTGAGCTTCAGTTTCTCCACCTTACTAATGAGGATGGCAGAGCTAAATGTGGGTAATGAAAATTATAGCTACCTTCTAGGATTAGATCAAATGTGTGAGAACAATGTCACCGTTACTGTTGTTATTATTGTCATTACTCCAGATTAAACAAAAAGGTTTGCAATACTGTCAGCATTTCTAGTGCTCACATCTGGAGACCTGGCACAGAAAGGCATTGGAAATCATTGCCAGAGTTGGTTTGCAATGGCATTCTGGAACAAGGGTCGGGGTTGGGGACAGGAATTAGACTGGAGACTAGGATAGTTCTAACAGCTCAACCTCTTCTATCTGGAGAGATATCTAAAAGGCAAGAACAGATTAGCATCTAATCTCTCAGGAAGGCCAGACAAAGGAGGGTGGTCAGGAGGGGAGAAGCCCAAAGCAGAGCACTTGGGTATATAAGGCGGTGGGGGTGGGGGGCACATCACCCCCAAAAGTGCTACAAACTAAAAGTTTTTAAGGGTCTAAGTAAATTAGGATTTTAATGTGGAGGTTAACATATAGTAAAGAAGCAGTTTTACCCACCCAACTCGGCCTTTACTTCATGCTTAGGGTCCAACTGTGGCTCAGTGGAGGGACACAAACTTGGGAGTCAGAGCGACCAGGTAGAATCCCATTGCTGCTTCCTACCAGAGGTGTGGCTTTGAACAAACTACTTAAGCATCTCTGAGCCCCCTTTCCTTATTCAACACATGGTCCTTCCTACCCTGCAGGGAGATGTATTGTGAGGATTACATTAATTAAAGTAGGAGAGCATGGTAGTTACTTCTGCTGCCTCCTCCTTCCACTCACCGCCACTACAGGCACACATGTACACACATGTTTGCACACACAAGAACACACACAGAGCATCTTATCTGGCCCAGTTGAAGCTGTTTGGGATCTGGTGTTAGAGTCTAGAAAGTGGCCGTGGTGGAAGACAGGACAAGATGACCAGGTGGGATAAGCCAGTAGTGGGAAAATGTCATTGGTGGTATCTGAAAAGGCAGGCAGGCAAAATATTTCTCAGAGGAAGACTCTGCAGCTGCGAAATACATCTAGAGCTTTTTCAAATATTCAGGCTACCAGTAGCCTGAAGGTCAGTCTCCTAGCTTTCCTTTCTGCCCTCTATTATTCTGCTTTGTTTATAATTCTGATTAAACTCTCTTCCCATACCACTCCAAATCTCCACTTTCTTTTCTCACTCTCTCACATGGTTTAGAGAGCCCCAGCAGGTGTAGTTGCTGCTTCTCCCCTACCCAGTTCTGCTCTTTGCTTAACACTGCACCTGAGGTTCTGCTGATTCTCACGCAAAGCTACCTGCCCTGGTTCTGCCAGTGGGAAGGTGGGTAAGGGCTCAGGGTCCAGAGTAGAAGCATGTGGAACAAAGCCAGGCTGTGCTACAGCTCAGCTACATACCCCTGGATAATTCATTTTCTGCTCTTGGCCTGCTCACTTTCCATAAAATGGAGATCATAATTCAACCTAGCTCTCACAGGCTAGTGCCAGGATTAAATGAGTGGATGTATTTGAAAAGGCACTTTATAATATGTGAAGAGCTATACAAATAAAGTAGTCACCCTTTTATCCATAGGAGATACATTCCAAAACTCCCCAGTGGATGCCTGAAACCTTAGATAGTACCAAAGCCTGTATATACTATGTTTTTTCCTATATATACATACCTACGATAAAGTTCGATTTATAAATTAGGCACAGTGAGAGATTAACAGCAACACATAACAATAAGTAGAACAATTATAACAATATATTGTAATAATAGTTATGTAAATGTAGTCTCTCGCTCTCTCAAAATATCTGATAACTGATCTGATAACCAAGATAGCTACTAAGTAACTAACAGAAGGGTAGCATATATAGCATGGGGACACTGGACAAAAGAATGATTCACATCTCAGTAGGGAAGAAGCAGGACAGCATAAGATTTTATCATACTGCTCAGATGGGCACCAATTTAAAATCGAATTGTTCATTTCTAGAATTTTCCATGGAATATTTGTGGGCCATGGTTGACTGCAGGTAACTGAAACTGCAAAAAGCAAAACTGTGGATAAGAGAGGACTACTCTACTGTTCTCATTAGGGAATATAGGGAAACTGTCATGTTTTATCCATCGCCTTCCCATCGTATGGATTTACACTTGTAAATGGATCAAGTTAAATGAGAAAAGTCTTTGTTCATGAGAAATGAGTGAGTTTCCAGGTTGCCAATTTGCCCTTTGGCTTTAAAAGAAGCAGGTGGGAAACAGGGGCATTGGCTACAAATGTTTTATTATCCAGAAAGGGGAGAACTGAGAGAGCACAGAAAAGTTCTCAATCTAGCTGAAACAGCTGAATCCCAAAAGAGACAGGGTACTCTCTGTCATTTTGGGGCAGCCAAAAATGACTTCTTGCTTGTACTAAAATTCGTAGGCACTTGCTATTGGTGGTGGAAGAGCAGAACAGGATAAAGAGAATAGATGTAAACCAGTGGTTCTCAAACCTAAATGTGCATCAGGATCCCTGAAGGCCTCGTGAAAACAGTGTTGGACCCCACCCAGGAGTCTCTGAATCAGTATGTCTAAGCTGGAGCCCAACAATTTGTATTTCTAATAAGTCCTCTAGTAGGGCTAATGCTGCTGGTCAGGAAACCACACTTTGAGAACTACCGATGTAAGCTATGCCGTGTCTCAAAATCTGTGAACATGACTTCATTTCAGAAATAAACATAATGCTTAATTCTTTCAAAACTTATTGAGTGTCATTGACTAAGTTTTTTAACCTTTCTGAGCCACCAGTTTTTTCACCTTTATTCCATGAAAGAGAACATGTTATCTATCTCACAGGGCAGAAAAGATTAAATGAGATAAGAAATGGGAAATGGTATCCAAAATGGTACCCCAAATTCTAAAGCCCTTTTTACTCTCATTAATCTTTTTTTTTTAAATCGAAGCTTTTCAGTGAATACCTGAGGACGTCAGCAAGACTTCAACAAAGGAACATGGTAGCCAAAGGAGTATTTGAAGAGAAAAAGAGGACCCAAAATCTCTGATAGATATAACCAGCTGAATATGCTATTATATGTTCTTATTTGTGCTTAGAAAGTTACCAGAGATAGTGAGGGCTTCTATGTGACAGTTATCTCATTTATATTTTATATAGGCCCTAAAAATCATACCACAGTAGCTTTAATAGCTTTTTGTGGGCTCTAATTATACATTTATCATAGACAAAAACATGATGCGTTGGTTAAGGATACAAATGTGACCACCGATACACTGTGACTAAGAAGAAGGCCAGCCTTTAGGGCTGGATGACTCTGAGAGACAGGTAGGAAGTCTAATGCCCCATTTTATAGATGGGTAAACTGAAACCCAGAATGGTTGAGAAAGACAAATACCACTGGTAGCATGCCCAGGTTGAAAGATTAATACATTCCAGTGGAAATAGGACTTGGCAGTCTGGGGTGAAGCTCCCCTGAGATGCGGACCAAGAATCTCCAGTGTTCCGGTGGTCACTTTGAGGAGCAGGTCAAGAACAGCAAAAATGGAAGAAATGAGGAAAGAGAGAAACAGAGAGAGAGAGAGAGAGAGAGAGAGAGAGAGAGAGAGAGAGAGAGAGAGAGAGAGAGAAGAAAAGAAGATTGAGACAAAATGAGAAAAAGAATAAGAAGAACAATGTTCACCTGGCAGCCTTGTCCCCCATCCATACAGCTGGGATACAGAATGGGATACTGGCCCTGACCAGTATTAGCCATGGCTACTGAGGTAAGCACAGAATTTATTTGACAAAAAGAAAACTAAATTGAAGAACATATGAGAACAATGAAATGAACAATATTGCCAAATGGGAACACTGGTTGTTCAAGAGTAAGCAAACTTACTAACAAGCAGATCCAATATTTTGGGGATTATTGTTCACTCAAAATTGATTTAATCAACTAACAGGACAAATGAGCTCATGCACAGAACCAGTCATCCTGGTTTTCCCCACTCCCTAGAGAGCGCTGGATAAAACAGATGAGGAGTCTGCTTCTGAGTACCCGGGACCTCTGTACCCGGGACCTCTAAGGCAATCCCCATCTCCCTCCACATGTGCCACCCCACCCAGGCTTCTCTGGGTCCTGCCAGCACTTCCAGCAGTGAAGGCCAGTGTGCCAGGGCAGAGACACATGAAGCCACCAGACACATGAAGGCAATCACACTGCCTTAATTTCACAGCATAAAGCCTGGAGCATCCTGTGAGGAAATAAAGTTTAATTTCAAAATTAAGCTTTAAACTGATTGAACCAAAGAAAGAAGAGCAGGAAGAAGAGAGGACGGGTCTGAGGGACATGACTGGTACAGAAGAAAGAACAAGAGTTCTTATGTAAACTTCTGGAGCAGACATTATAATTTGAAAAGGCTGTGACACCAAATAGGAAAATGGCCAGCTTAGTAGGATTTTTTTAAGATTTTTTTATATGAGACAAACACACACACAAACACACACACATATCTCTTTTCAGGTAATCATCAGAACCATTATGTAAGGCATTAATTTAGAGGGAAATTTTTAACCTCAAATGACTGATCACTGCTATGACGACCCTCAGTCCTTGTTAGATGACCTGTTCCCCTCTTCCTTTCCAGTACCTGGCCATTTTCCTTCAGCCGGTGGTAGAATTTTCTCTACAAGAATACAGAGCAAACCAGAAGTAGAGATAAAGACTAAGCATATTCCAACAAAGTCTGGACAGCCAGTCACTCTACCTCCACAGTGTGTGCCCTGCATGTGGATATCAGATATTCCCTGCAAGGGCTCTTGTGCCACCACCATGATGTCTCATAACAGACTTGGAGGGTGGGGATTCAGTGCCCAAATCTGAGGGAGCTAGGAGAAGCAAGAAATGTGCACACTACTTTTCCTTCCATCTTCTATCAGGTTAATTGGCCCAGAGTGGTGGCCCCTGGAATAAAGGCAGTTAGTTATAGAAATGGGGAGCAACCAGGGAGTAGGTCAGTCCATGACACAATACAGAACTCAGTCACTGAACATGGCCCAAGAAAATGTTAAATTAGAAGTTTGCACCACGGCATGGACATGAAGAATCAATTTCATGTACCTCCTCATCTATAATTGTCTTAAATGGTAGATTCTTATTTAACTCTTCACATATGAACACTTTTCGCTTCAATTTAAATCTACTTCTTGTGATCAAAAGACACAGCTAGTTATCTTCTAGATTACTATAACTTAGCAACTAGCACAGTGGCTTGCATGTTATAAATGCCACATACATTGAATAGAGGACAGTCATTCCAAAAACATGCTGAACCATGTTGAAGGAATGAAGGCTCTGTGACTGAGCCAGTGTTCATATTTCATCATTTCATTGTGAATCTTGGGAGAATGTAGGAATTTACTCCTACATTGTAGAATTTGTAAGATTCTAAAATGTAGAATTTGTAAGATTCCTAGAAGAGAATGCCATATACCTTTGGATTTCAAAAATTTGACACAAGAATAAATTATGTAGTGGCTAAAATTGCATTTTGACTCTAAAATCACAAGTGGTCTGGTAATGGAACAAAATAATCTGGCACCAAAAAGAGCTCTTGCTGAGTTCAGATTTTTTTTCCAAAATGAAAAAAAATTGAAGAAGAAATAAAGATGGGTAAACACAGAAGAGTGACACACAGACAGCTTGGGGGAAGTGACAGAGAATATAAAATAGGCCTTTGTTCTCTCTTTGAAAAAAATTTTAATTTTTTTTGTTTTAGGCAATTTTCAGTTTTTGGACCAAGAAAACGGAAAAAAGATGTGCCTATTAGTTGAGGCAATGACAGAAAGAAGGCAAATATTCCTAACATTCAATTTTGCTTTGATATTTTATATCAAGCAGAAAAGTCTTGAAACTGCAAACAAACAAAAAGACCTGACAGGGAAACAAAGTTCACAGCAGGTAAGGAAGCATCCAAAGGGTTCCTTTTATATGAGTCAAATATTTCTGGCCTAAACAAATCACATCTCATGACACAGACACAATTTACCAATATGACCAAAAACCAGGTATTAATCTTTGAGAAATTAGGGAGGATGATAGAATATAAGGACAAGAAAATTGTCTTGATTTTTAAAAAATATAGCAGATTCTAGAAACGACAGACTAGTCAATCTGATGTTAACCCACAACAGAATTCTAAAATGGTTTATCACATAGTTTGTGAGCATTTAGAAAAGAACGTGACACACACCAACAACCTACAGGGATTCAATATAAACAAAGCAGGCCAATTCAATATATTTCATGTACCTCATTTTCTCTTTTAAAAGCATTATTAGACAGACACAGCAAGGAAAGAAGACATAGCTTATTTTGATCCCTGTCATTGAAAAAGTCCTTCTTCAAGTCCAATGGTTAAAGGGGCAAAAGGCAGGCTACATTATTGTCCAGTTCTACCAATTAGCACAATTTATTGAATAACTAAATCCAGAGCATATTGACTGAGTGCTGCAAGATTTTGAATTTGGTCCTATCCCAATAAATATATGTATCAATAAAATCAAGACTTAAAAAGAAAAGATTAACAATTCTGTAGTTGATACTAGGCGAAGGAGAGCTAATATATTGTAAATAGAATTATGAATCAAAACTAACTCAGCAAGCAGTAATAATGTGATGAAATTTAAAATTCAAGTAAAAAAATAAGTTCAATAAAATTCAAATTTTTAAAAATTCAAATCCTATACTGTATATATCTTCAGGTACAAATAATAAGATGGGGTCTCTGGGAACAAGTCGAGCGATACTGAAGTAAAGTACTCTTGAGATAGGAACATCAGACTGGTCAAAGACAAAACAAATATTAGAACAAAAGATGCTCCTAGTGTTCTTATCATTTAGGAAATTACAAGGGTTTCAGGAGCTCTGTGCCAGGAACCAGGGGTAGAGACCAAGTAGGTATTTTTATTATAAATAATATCACATTTATGTTATGCTTTCTGGTTTTCATCCATCTCTTTTCCAGGGAGAACAACAGCCTGGGTAAACAGACTTGCCTTGACACAGTCACAAGAAAAGAACGAGAAGTTATATTTCCAACAGGGGCTTCAGGTTATGTTCTCAGGTTATGCTGTCATTTGCCTAAAAGTTTGATGAACATTCACCATTAATCTTATGGAGCACATCTGTTAAAAGGAGGATGAAATGATCAGGGGGGGTGAAAGGTCTGGAAATCATGAAGTAAAGTGGGAAATGCAGTGTGAAAACAAGAAAAGTGGGAAATATAGTGTGAAAAACTTCCTGGGAGGACATGTGTGAGAACGACCCTCAAATACTTGAAGAACTGTCCTTTGAATGAGAAATCAAACAAGTCCACATAGTCCAGGTGACTTCAGATGAGAGGAATAAGACCCTTCTCCAGAGGTCATAAGACTAAGACTTGGACTCCACTAATACATTCCTTATAATTCTCGCTGTCCCTGCCCCGCCCTCAAAAAAAAATGAGTGAGTTTTCTGACACTGCACAGCTGCATAGCCTATCAGATGTGGGAGAATGCAAAGAGATTTTCAAACTCTGAGAGGAAGGTTTAAGGTGCTGTTTCCTTCCATTTGTGCAGTTCATCATGTAGTTTATTCCATTAAACACAGCACCCATATCTAAAGAAGAAGGCAGCATGGTATATTGGTTAAATGTTCAATGTCAGCCCTCCCAGTTTAAATCCCAGCTCTGTCACTCACTCACCATGTAACCACAGTGACCTTGAGCAAGTTAACTAAACCCTTGAACAAACAGTTTTCCCACCCGCAAATTGGGGATGATATGAGCATCTACCCATGAGACTGTATGAGAGTCATGTAACTTGATGCATAAGAAGCACTCAGAACAGTGTCTGGGATATGGGAAATGGATAATAAAGTTAGCAATTTATTATGATTACTCTATGATCTTTTTTGCTCTTTCTGAAGATTCCTGATTACCAATTCTGGGCACAGTGTGCCGTTCACCTGAGTAGACAGAGAATATCACTCAAAAATAATGAAGGGGACTTGGCACCTGAAGATAACTACAAACACAGAGAATAGCACAGCATGGAGCAAAAGGGAGAAGCGACACCATTCTCCTCCACAGACCCGCATGATTTCTAACACCAGCTACCACTGGCAGAGATTTCTATCCCCAAGTCACCCTTAATGCAAGCTGCAGCTCAATCATCGTGGTTAGCAAAAGTCTGGAATATGGATCCTAGAGCCTACGGAGCAGCTTCCGCTGAGGTGGGGACTGGCTTTTCAGGTTCCTCTCCCAGATCCACAATTCGGATGCTGTTTTCCTTCTTAGAAAGCCAGAAGGCAGGATAGACTGGCTCTGAAAACTTGCAGTCAAACTTGTGAACCAGAGTCATGGCATCGGGTTCCACGCCATAGAAAGAAAGGATCCCTCCTGGGAAGTTGACGTAGATGCCCAGCCTCCGGAAAGGATTGGCTTTGATCGGGGTTTCCGTGTCACTGTGCCAGGCTGTGAACTCCTTTCCATTCCAATGGAGACTCCAGGAGAAGTTGTTTCCGGAAATGCAACTGTTGCGTTCCTCCCCTTTCCGGTCAATGCCTTTGCAGGTCAGGCCAATGTAGGTGCCTGCCCCAGAGATCTCAACCTCAAAATAGTACCTGTGCAGATACAGGCTCTGTTGCGACAGCACCTGCCGCCAGTGCACAAACCTGCTGGGGAGGTCCGGGTAGGGATGCTCCCAGGGCGTAGTGTTGGTGACCTTGCGATTGTCTTCCTGCAGCCGGAGATATCTGTGTGCTGTGTCAGGGTCAAACATGATGTCACATGCATCTGCGGAGATACAGAAGTCAGGGAGAATAGGTTAGAAACCAACAGTTGATTGAAACAGAACACTTCAAACCTGATCAGCTTCCAAAGTATGAGTAAATATCCATCTCCTTGATCTCTGTTTACCCAGGCTCTGGAAACCAGGTGGGTGAAAACCAGAAAACAGAGAACACAATGTGATATTATAATTTATAATAAGAAATGCATACTTGGGCTCCCCACCCCCATTCCTGGCATAGAGTTCCTGTAACCCTTGGAATTTTCTGGGTGATTGGAGCATCTTTTATTTTAATGAGGCAGTTTGGGGTGGGCTCCTGGATGGCTCCTGAATGAGGGCTGCTCACTGGGAAGAATAAGCCATGATTAGAAGCTTGGAATTTTCAGCCCCATCCCCTACTTCTCCAGAGAGGAGAGAAGAGCTGAAAATGGAGTTAATAATTTATCGTGCCTACATGAGGAAGCTTCATAAAAATCCCATTAGCAAGGGGTTCAAAGATCTTCCAGGTAGGTGAACATATCCACACAGGGAGGTGACATACCCCAATTCCACGGAGATATAAGCTCCTGAGCTCAGGACCCTCTCAGATCTCACCCTATGTATCTTTTCAGCTTGCTGCTTATCTGTATCTTTTATCATATCCTTTAATAAACTTGTAAACATCAGTAGAAGTTTCCCTGAATCTGTAAATTGCTCTAGCAAATTAATAGAACCTGAGGAGGTTTTAGAAATCTCTGATTTGTAGCTGAGTCGGACAGAAGTTGTGGATAACCTGGGGACCTACTACTCGCAATTGGCATAAAGGATCTCTATGACTCCCTGAGGTGGGATGAGAGAAATCTTGTAGGACTGAGCCTTTAGCCTGTTGGATCTGATGTTATCTCCAGGTGGATAGTGTTAGAATTGAGTTAAATTGTAGGACACCCAGCTGGTGTTGCAGAGAATTGCTTGGTGGGAAAACCCACACATACAAATAGTAAGTGATTCTAGACCCCTTTTAATAGTCACTTCACTTCCATTCTTTCGGAAGCTCAAATTGCTTGGCATTTACTGTATTATTGCTGAGCTGAATTGAGAAATAAAATCCATTGATTTACTCATTCATTCATGCAACAAATATGTACCCAGTGTTAGGAAGGGTTTTGGGGGAACAGGCATTCATATACCCACATTTGACCCATTCTTCAGTTGTTGTTTTTTTTTTTTTTAATATTTGACCAATATTTAGCCTGGTGAACTCTCAAATAGTTTCCCACACATTTTTTCTTCCCAGTCCCAAAGAATAATAGCACCTCCATACAACCAGCTGCTCAAATCACACTAAAGTCATTTTCGACATTTCTTTCACCCTTATCCTCACCCCCACCTTATCCCTCCTCACACACACACAGGCAGCAGCAAGCCCTGTGGATACCACCCACTTCTCTCTAGCATACTGCTTCATCCTCCATCTAAACTACCACCAAATCTCGCCCAGACTAGGGCAATAGGCTCCTTGCTGATCATGTTGCTCTCCCCTGCCCCACTTCCATACTTTTCCCATGAGAGAGCCACAGTGCTTGTTTCAGAGTGTAGGCTAAAGTGAATCATGCTGCCCTGCTTACAGCCCTTTAATGGTGCCCCTTGCTCTTCAGAGAAGGCAGTGACTCCTCACCCCAGCCTGCATGGCCCTGCATAACTGGCCCTTCCTTGTGTCCCAGCTTTGTCTCCTGCCCAATCCCATTTGATCACCACACTCCAGCACCCTGACCTCAGACCAACCTAATACTGAGCCCACTTCAGGGCTTTAGCACAGACCATTCCCTCTGCAATGCAATTGTCACCCCAACCTAAGTCTGGGTAATTACTACTGATCCCTTCAGGTTGCTAAGAATTCATGTCCTCAAAAAGGCTCTCTATGACTCCTTGATCTGAATCAGTTACCTTCCCATTGCTGACTCTCGGAGTACTCTGGCTTTTTAAATTTCATGCTACTCATCACGATGTGTAATAATCTATTTTTATATTTGTTTCATGCTTGTCCTCCTTCTAATCTACAACATCCACATTTTATGTGGAACTCTATCCTGGGGTTCTAGCTCAGAGAAGATGTTCAGTATATACTTCCAAATTAATTAGCATATTAAAGGCTATTTAAAAATACATTAATTTAAGAAATTATCTTATTAACTTGGAGCTTTCCAAACTCCTTTGGTAAGAGAAATTCTTAGTAGTTAATGACACCACATCCTGGGAGAAAATAAGGACACAGTAGCCCCGGTAGCCCCAACAGTATCCACAGCAGCACATTTACCCACCACCAACTCCTTTGGCAATCCTTAACATCCAGATTTTGAACAATAATATTCTTCTCATTTAAGGGGACCCAGGACTTCTAGGAGGGTAGGTGGTTCTATGTCTTGAGACAAGAAAACCAGAATGGGTCTGGAATATTCTGTTCGTTTCAGAAAGCAATGATACATTTAAGAATGTCAAGGACAGAATATCAATACTTAAAAGAGAAAGAGGCCAGCATACAAGTGGCTCCAACTGGTCAAGTTGGCAATTTGAGCCCCAGAACTTTGAAAGTGAAACAATGTGAGTCTATAAAAGGTTAAAGATTTCTAATAATACTCAAAGAGAAAAAGTTAATATTTTGTGTACAAAAAGACATTTGTAATGTAAAAGAAAATAGATTATAAAAGAATATGTTATTTTTAACGTTAAAAATGAAGAATGTTTGGCTTCTTTTATTAATTATATTTGTTTGTAAAATAGATGTGCTTTTGTCAAGAAGCAGGAAAGAATAAAGGAAACTGTGAAACCCAAGATGTCCTGGGGAAAGTAGCAGCTCCGGCAGAAATAGGAGACAGGCATCAGAACATGAGGCTACATGTAATAACCAGAGAAAAAAGGGGTCCAGGAGTTAGTCAGCCAGTGGTCACCCCCTGAAAAAAAGCATAATCAGGGTTCAATGGCATGTTCCCAAAAAGATGAATTAGCCAAATGTCATAAAAATGAGCCTTGAGCAAAATCCAGTCAAGATGGTGGGGTAGGTAAATGTGCTTGCCTCCTCTCATGACCACATCAAAATTACAAATAAACTACAGAACAATAATCATTGGGAGTCACCTGAAGTCTAGTTGAACAGAAGTCCTACAACTGGGAACATAAGAAGAGACAACCTCAAGACTGGTAGGAAGGGCAGAGATGTGAAACAGGCCAGTTCCACACCCACATGTAGTAGTTGAAAATTAGAAGAGATATCTCAGCTGCAAAGGTCTCCCCAGAGGGGCAAGGTTTCCTGGCCCCACACCAAGCTCCCCAGCCCAGGGTTCCAGTGCCAGGAACAGAAGTCTCCACAGCTTCTGGCTGTGAAAACCAGTAAAGATTGTGGCTGAGCGAGGTGAAGGGCTGCTGGAGTCACAGGTGCTCCTCTTAAAGCACCCATGCACAGACTTACTTGCTGATGGACTCACTCACTTTGAGCTCCAGTGCTGGAACAGCAGCTCAAAAAGAACCAGGGACATATAGAGAAGAAATGAATTGTCTAGCTTTTGGGCAAAGGGTGAAAGGGCAGCTTTCTCTCAGACAGTAGTACTGGCATGTGCCACTGTTCTTTTGTTGAGCCCTTCCCATTCCAAGCATGCAGATGCAGGGGGGCTGCCATATCTGAGTCTCCATCAACCTGGCTAAAACCATTTGCCCCACCCTGATGTTTCCCTGATACCCCACCCCACCCAAATTTCAGGCCCACCCAAGTTGCTTCTAGTGGCTTTTCCATACAAATGGCCTGTCTTGGCTAATGCTGCAATCTTTCCTAAAATCTCTCAGACTCACAAAACCCAAACAAGCAGCTTCTGAACTCAGCATGTCCTATACCTCCTGCTGAGCAGTCCCAAACCCAGAACTAGCTGTGGCTTGGCCTCTTGAGGCACCTTTAAGCCAGTACAGGTGGTAGCCATCTGCTGATTACTTGATGACTCTTGCCATGTGGCCCTGGGTAGAGTACAGGCTGTAGCTGAACTTGACTTGTGGCAGTGCCCCTCCCAGAAGGCCCCAGGGCCAGCACGCCTGGTGGCCAGCTTTGGATCAAGCCTGAGTACAACCCAAGGCTGCATCTAAGAATAACACACACAAAGGGCAGTCTGGGCAGGCACCAAAAGCCCTGCTAAAGTGAATCCTGCTCTGTAAGGTTAGTCCTTCATTTACCAGTCCTCACAAACAATCATCCCTAGGGTCAATACCTCCCATTGGCATGCAAACAGCAACCAAGTCTCAACTCCCACAGGAGGGCACACAACCATAAAGGGACATACCTGAAGCACCCGGCTCAAGTGACCAGAAAAGACTGTGCCACTGGGCCCCACAGAACACCTAAAACATAAGGCCACTTTACCAGGACTGGGAGACATAGCAGCACTACCTAATATATAGGTGTATAAACACAGGGAGGCAGCCAAAATGGGGAGACAAAGAAATATATCTCAAATGAAAGAACAGAATAAGGCTCTAGAAAATGAACTAAACAAAATGTAGACAAGCAATCTACCAGATGCAGAGTTCAAAACACTGATTAAAAGGATACTCAATGAACTTAGGAGAAGAGTATATGAACTTAGTGATAACTTTAACAAAGAGGTAAAAAACACAAATATGGAGATATTAAAAAAAACATAAAAAGGACCCATCAGAAATGAAAAATACAATAACTGAAATGAATACATTAGAGGAAATCAACAGTAGATTAGATGAAGCAGAGGATTGAATCAGCAATTTAGAAGATAAGGTAACAGAAAACACTCAATTAGAACAGCAACAAGAAAAAAGAATCCAAAATACTAAGGATAGTTTAAGGGGCTAGTTAAATGCTTGACAACATCAAGCATTCCAACATTCAAATCATGTGGGTAACCAGAAGGAGATGAGAGAAAGCAAGGAATTGAAAACCTATTTGAAGAAACAATGACAGAAAACTTCTCTAACCTGGCAAGGAAAATAGACCTGCAAACCTGAAAAGTACAGAGAGTTCCAAACAAGATGAATCCAAAGAGGTCCACACCAAGACACATCATAATTAAAATGCCAAAGGTTAAAGGCAACCAGAAAATCTTAAAAGCAGCAAGAGAAAAGCAGTTAGTTACCTACAAAGGAGCTCCCATAAGACTGTTAGCTGATTTTTCAACAGAAACTTTGCAGGCCAGAAGAGATTTTCATGAAATATTCAAAGTGATGAAAAGCAATGATGTACAACCAAGATTACACTACCTGGCAAAGCTATCATTTAGAACTAAAGTACAGATAAAAAGCTTCCCAGACAAGAAAACACTAAAGAAGTTCATCAACACCAAACCACTATTACAAGAAATGTTAGGAGGACTTCCTTAAGAAGAAAGAAAAAAACTCAAAAATATGAATGATAAAATAGCAATAACTTCATATCTACCAACAATTACTTTAAGTGTAAATAGATTAAATGTTCCAATCAAAAGATAGATTAGCTGAATGGATAAGAAAACAAGACCCTTACATATCCTGACTACAAGAGACTCATTTCAGATCAAAAGATATATACAGACTGAAAGTAAAAGGATTGAATAAGAAATTTCATGAAAATGGAAACAAGCACACGAACAAAGCTGGAGTAGAAATACTTATACAAGATGGAATAGACTTTAAAAGAAAGGCTATAACAAGAAACAAAGAAAGACCCAGTAATCCCACTTCTGGGTATTTATCCAAACAAACCCAAAACACTACTTCGAAGAGACATGTGAATCCATATATTTATCGCAGCATTATTTACAATAGCCAAGATTTGGAGGCAACCTGGGTGTCCATAAATGGATAAAGAAGAGGTGGTATATATATATATATGATGGAATGATACTCAGCCATAAAAAAAAGAATGAAATCTTACCATCTGCAAAAACATGGATGGACTTTAAGAGTATTATGCTGAGTGGAGCAAGACAGACAAAAAGACAAATGCCATATGATTTCACTTAAATGTGAAATTTAAGAACAAAATAAACAAATAAATAAAACAGAAACAAACTCATATATACAGAGAACATTTTGATGGATCCCAGATGGGAGGGGTGTTGGGAGCTGGGTGAAAGGGGAGGGGATTAAGAATTACAAATTAGTAATTACAAAATAGTCATGGGGATATAAAGTATAGCATAAAGAATATAGTCAATAATGTTGTAATAACTATGTATGGTATCAGATGAGTACTAGATTTATCGGGGATCACATAAGTTATGTAAATGTCTAATCACCATGTCGTATACCTGAAACTAATATAATGTATGTTAACTGTAATTGAAAAGTAAAAACATTCTAAAAAAAATAAGGCTTGAACACACCGATGCAGTCTGTTCTTTACTAAGAGATGAAACCACACCAGCTTGTTGATCATAATGAAGTATTGATTGGAAATACAGTGTTTTTAAGAATGCAAACTGACCAGGTCAATACCACATAATGACAGGACAATGAGTTATGCAATTCTGGCTAAGCAAGACTTAACAGGGAACCATTGGTAACTAGCCAGGATCTTCGAAAGTGCCAAAGTCACCAAAGACAAAAAGACTGGACCCAGATTGAGAGACTTAAGGAGGCATGGAAATATCTGTGATCCTAGATCAGACTTTAGGCCAGAAAAAGGACATTGGTTAGAACACTTGCTGAAACATGAATAAATTCTGCAGTTTTGTTAATAATATTGTGGCAATGTTCATTCCCTGGTTTTGATCAATGTACTGTAGTTATATAAAGTGTTAACATTTGGAGAAGCTGGATGAAGGTATACGGGAATTCTTTGTCCTACTTTGCAATGTTTTCAAAAGTTTGAAATTGTTTCAAAATGAAAAGTTTAAATTTTTTTTAATTGAAAATTTTTAAATGTATTCATTTAGGAATAGACTTGAGATTGCAAGAACCTGAAACCTATGTTGGAGATGGAGTTTTTGCTTTAGCAAAGCATTACACTGACATTAATAAGTAAAGAAAGGAGAGCTGTTCACAACTTACATTGGAGGAACTGTTGCCTGGTGCTGGGCTCAGGTTTTGAGGTCCAATACTTGCGCTCAACAATGGCAGATACTTGAGTTCTGATGTCATACTCCTCTACAAAATAAGAGAGTTGTAAATGCCCACCTGTTCCAGATGGTAAGGAGAATTTAAGAAGCAAGTCTTCCCTGGGCTTCCTGGGGGAAGAAGGGGCTGGAGCCTAGTCATGTCTCAGAAAACCAATGCTCTGTGAACCACATTTCTCTCACGGTTGAAGCAAAATAGGCTGAAAAACATCCCAGACTGACTTGGATTTCACTTAAAAGTACAGGCATTAGCAATCTGAGAAGCTGGTCATTGAAATGCCAGCCGATTGCATGATGTGGCTAACTCACCTTCTCTGGGCTCAATCATAAAATTAAATCAAGGTAAGTGTCAGTTAGTAACATAGTCTAGCCAAAGGATGGCTTTGAAAATGAGATGTTCCCATGATTTTTTTGTTCTCCCTCCACTGGCTCTCTCTGTCACCTGCTCCATCAACCACTCTGAGAGGCACACATACCACAGCCCACAGAAAGCTTCTCACCTTCCTTGGCAAACTCCTGGAGCTTTTCCTTGTAGTTGTGCAGCAACTGGATTAAGTGCACGGTGGAGTCTTTGATGACATTGCGAATGCCTGAGAGCTTATCCTTGAGTCCTATGTAAACACTAGGGGAGGTGCTATCCTCGGTGTTCTTAAACTTGCAATACTCCTGCAGGAAAGGAAACATGGTAGAACTTGCTTTTGTTTCTGTATTTCTTAAACTAGGCTGGTCTCATTATGTCACTTTATACAACTGTAAAATTGGTTGATGGTAATATGCACTTCACAAAGAAAATATGTAATATGTCCAACTCAGGATCTAACAACATAAAAGGCACTTTTTTTTTTTAACTGGGGAAGTGAGCTTTTAAAAAGATGCCACAAGCAGCTCCAATACACAGTCCGCACTGGAAACCGAAAAACAAAAAGACATTTTATGCCAACTGCCAGGATTATACACTATCAGTTGTTAGAAATAAATTAATTAATTAAATAATTTGAACACAAGCCCCAATAGGGAATGGAGGACATGGTACTGCACTCAGAAGATGTGTAAACAAGTCCTCAGACAGAAAAGGTTGCTTTTAGCTATAACACATTATCAAAATTTAAATGTAGTTGAAACATTAAAGAGCAGACTGATACAGCATAAAACTTAGTGAAGAAAACAGTTGTATCAAAATAACTAGATAGATTAGTGGAAGAAAAGAAAAAGTCCAAACCAAAGAGCTGATAGAGAAAAAGATAGATAAACATTTATTACTCTGTATAGATTTGGTACCATACATGATAAAAGTAGCATTTTAAATCAGTGGGGGAAAGGATGGGTTATTCAATAATGGTGTCATTTCAGCTGGCTAATAATTTGGGGGAAAGAAAGTTATTTTTAACCAAAATAAATAAGTTAACATACTAAAATACATTTTGTGCAGATTGAAGTTTTTATGTTAAAGTGATAAAAAGAGAAACAAATAAAGGGAAATTGTTTACATAATTTGGGAAAACTTTGAGAAAACTCATGACATAGAAAGCCAAATTTTTATTCACAGTTTCTTCATGTTTTGATATTGAAAAGCAAAAGAACTGACAAAGAAACATTCTGCTATATTTTTGTCTGTCTTTACCTGCTGCTCTTTCTCTCAATCATTACAAGGTCAACTATGGCCATCTTTGGACGGTGGGAGTAAGGATGATTGTTTTCCTTCATATTTTTCCATATTTTACAATTTTTTCCACAATGAACATTTACGTTTGTTGTAACTGGAAGGGAATTTTTTTCAAAAATGCAATCCAGAAAAATTATCTGTATTTAGGAATATTAGATCTAAAGGAGACTTGAAATTACTTACTCTGATCTGATTGATAAATAAGGAAGTGATAAATAAAGAGACTGATTTGCTAAAAACTGTGAAGCTATTTAGTGACAAATCCAGGACAACAGAATTTATGACTAGCCTAGTGTTCCTTCCCTGGAAGATTGCATGTGTTCAGGTCTACCTTTAATGACATTTGCCTTTATGTATAATGGCATATTGTAATAAAAAGTCTTGTCCTCTCTGCTGGGCCTTCCTCAATCACCTCAGTACATGTAGCCTTCTCTGAAAGGCAACATGTCTCTAGTCTCACCCTTGCCAGGCAAGCCTCCTTACTACTGTCAGAGTGGTTTCTAAAGCACACTTGTCATCAATCCCACATCTGAAGTCTTCCATTGGTTCCTGAAACTTCCTGACAAAAAGCAGACTTCTCTCACAGCCAGATGTCCACCTGGCCCAGCCACCTCATCTTCCATCATTTATGAAAGCACCTAGTTCCTCAAAACAGTTGTGCTTTCTCAAACCTCTCGCCTGCACACATACTATTCGCTCTCCTGAAGCATACCTCTCCTCGAGCATTACTCATCTCCATGACTTGGTTTCAGTCTCCTACTGGGAGTCTTCACTACCCTTCCTGTACTCCTATACTCTGCTGAATCAAGATCTGCTTCTCTCTGTCCCCCCAGCTCCCTATGCCCCATTTATCAAAGAGCGATTCCATTCCCATATCTGCCAGTTAGTTCCCTGGTGTTAGTTGTGTAGATGCCTCTGCCATTCCATCTCCAACCCCCCTACTCTTCCCACCCCCCGCCACCTGTACCTCAAGGAACAAGACAGTGTTACTGATGGAAGCAATCCTCCCCAGCTCCTGCTTGCTCTTCTCCATCTCTGCAGTCCTGTGCTCCAGGTGGGTCTTGATGCCATTGGCCTGGCTCAGAGCAGCTTGCTCCTTCTCCTCCAAGAAGAGCATCACATCAGCCTGGGCCTTCCTCATGGTGGCAAGGAGTTCCCCAAACTGCTCCTCAGCCACCATCTTCACCTCTGACACCGACACCTGGCCGAGGGTGGCAGTGGGGCACAACAAAGATCCTATTAGCAAGGCTTCTAACTTTATCAAAACTCGACACACAGAAATGTAAATCTGAGAAACCTGTAAATCAGGGAGCAATTTTTCATTATAAAAAGAAGGCTTTTATTCTCATATGAATTCTGGGTTCCTGGAAAAAAGACTTACTCTCCAGCATGTAAGCACTTATTTACCCATCATTAACTTAGTCTCTCGACCACTGGGTAAGAGAGTGAATTATATGATGCCTGAGACCCCTTCCAGCTCTGACAGTCGGGCTGCTCTTCAAGGTTCTGAAATCAATTTTCCTACCAGAGCTATTCATGTATTCAGTGTACTTGATAGTAACGTTTATTGTGGCAAATTAATAATTTGGCTTCTTTATACAAATCGGTAGCATGAATTGGCTTTCTTAGCATTTCATTATGTCTGATTAAATTGACCACTGAGGCCATTAAAGCCAAAAGCACATCTAAGCTTATAGCGTCTCTACCAGGTATGAAATGTTTAGGGTGCATGTCGGTGATGACAACACCTGTGCACTGCAGGATGAGCATACCTATGCAGAATGGAATGCTACATTCAAATAAAATATAAAACAAACTTCAGTGTGATAAATATTCAGGATTTTCATGACGGCACTTGTGCATGTGGGAATCTGTCATTTAACAGGGTGAATGTCTTTTATTAATGCTTTCAGTCAATATCATATTTACAACATCAATCCAAGTTTTAAATGGTTTCCCCTTCTCTTTGATAGCACTTATGCACTGGTGCTGACAATTATAGTAAAAGGTTCTTTTTTTTTTTTTTTTTTTACTATAGTTAAGAGTTCTTATAGTAAAAATATTGCATTCTTGAGAATAATCAGTCCTGCATTCTTAGTTCTAGGCTTGTTATCAGGCAGTCTGGGTGTTAGATGCCAGGAGGTCTAGAGAATGGGTTCTAGGGGATCTGATCACATCCAGTGGTCTGGATAATAGATATAAGGTAGATATCAGGTGGCCTGGATATGTGAGTCCTTTAGGGGGTAATCGGAGAGTTTTCTGGAGGTCTAATGTATGTCCAGATGTATATCTAGGCATTGACACTGGACTGAAAAGTTCAAAAGTTTAAGTTAGAACAAAAATAAAGTCTTTCCTCATGCCTCAGTCTTCATAATGTTAATCATTTTACCAGCTTAGTTACAGTGACTCCATTTTATATATTCCTTATCTCTCCTCTTTCATCAGAGGCAGCAAGCATTTATTTGTAATCAAAAAGAACTGCAGTTTGAGGAGCACAGATTCAAACAGAAACCCAAATAGTGTCCCAATTATATGATGAAGGAAGGATTTTTATGGGAAAAGGAAGAGAATAAATACACGAATAGAAAAAAAGAAATTCCTATTGGTACTAACAAGCTGACTTACTCTTTAGCTATACATGGCTAGTTACTGATTCCATCTTCAGAAAGAAAGTCCATAATCATCAGTCTTCTAGTCAGAATGTCTACTTTGCAACCAGTTGTCTGTAAGACAATGTTGTTTTGACCCAGGGTGTTGTGGGAAAGGAAAGAAACCCATTTACTCCCTATAATGACAATATGTAGTTTCCTCATAGAAGCACGATACAGTGAGGCTGAGAGACATGAGGTTAAAGACAAACTTTAGAGTCCAAATCCCTCCTCCTTCACCAAGGCCTTTCTGAGGAAGGGTGGTGGACAGGAGGCCTCAAATGATGCTGATAGATTGGCCCTTCTGCTGTCATATGTAGCCTCTCATTCCTAAACTTTTCCATGGTGAAATAATTCTTCCTTGTATGTAAATTAAGTGCTAAAGGATATAACTTACTGCCCAAATGATGACAAATAAAGACTATGGAAAGGAGGGGCCTCAAACATAACAAAGTATCAAAGATAATGATTTAAAGAGGTACACATGCCTGTAAATGTACTGAGTCATTCTTAGGTCAAGGGAGTAACAATCTCAGGTTCTCTTATTCCATCAATCTAGAGGCCCCAAACAAGTTTTAACATCTCTCTGTCTTCCCATCCTTTGTGCATGGTGGCACTGTGATAACTACCTCTCTCAGTTATCATGCAAATATGGAAAGAACTACATAGGGATCAAATTGTCTGAAAATTAAAGACCTGAGAAAATGCAAGATGCTCCACTTGTTTCTCCAGATTTTCTTGTGCCTAGAAATCAATAATCTCTGAAGGTTTATAGGGCTTTAAATGGACAGTTGTTTTTCTTTTTATAAGATTATATGGGTAAGAAGGAGGAGTTTACTCTTCAGTAGCTAGTTAGTTGTAAACATTGAAGAGGAGGAAATTAAGTTGAAATGGATACATGTATTAGATATGGATGGATGGATGATGGATGGATGGATGGATGGATGGATGGATGGATGGATGGATGATGGATAGAATCATTCTTAGTATGTCAAGATGATGATGCTTACTCACTACCACAGGGTAGGTATGTTACATCCTCTTCTGAGTGGTGGCTATTGGCTTGCCACTAATGAGAAACATTTGTGGGACTGTCTGAGTCTATTTAGAGTTTATATAGGAAGTGGTCATAAAACCAAAGAGACTAAAACAAAGTAGCCTGGCATATCATTGACCTTAACAAGTATCATCCACTAATCCAGCACTTCTCAACTCTTTTCTGGATGCCAGGACATAGGACTAGTGAGACTTACATGTCAAACACCCTCTCATGATGGAAGAAGCCAAGATTATGCATAATTCCTAGAACTCTATCTAAACACCCCCCTTATACTCCCTCACACACCCTTTATTCCTGGTCAAAAAATATGCAAATGTAAAAATAAGAATGATGTTATTACAGAACTAGTCTTGCTTCTGCTCTATACTATGAAAAGGTAACTCGCTTGCCAGTTTTGAGCCTTAAACTAATTTCATAGCAAATTCCAATAACAAGGTTATGCCACCCAGTGGTGTAGCCAATTGTATCTGTACCTATAATTCTCATTTTCTGAGAAACCCCAAGAAGCCCATGGACATGGAACATGGGCCTGCAGCCATGTCCTACAATCCTGATGGGCCTAGCTGAGCCTGAAGCAGCAGCCAGGTATACTGAAACCTAGCAGATGACCCAAATCAGTCTTACCAAAACAGATTTATGGTTAGCTTGGAGCCTGGTGATGGCGTTTTCATTCAGCTTCAGTTTCCTCTCCAGGTCTAACTGGGTGGCCTGAAGCTCAGCCTAAGTAGAGGAAAAGACAGCATTAAGCCCAATATCCACAGAAGGTCCCAGGAGCAGTGGCACTCTCCACATCCTTCCATGGAAAGGAGAATTTAACTTCGAAAGTGGATCTCAGAAGCCAGCCTAGAGTGCCCTAAAGGCTCAAATGGTCATTGGTGTGCCAGCATATCCTGGGGCTGAACTCAGCATAAATTGGCTAAAATATGGGGAGCACATACATTGTTTTATGCTGGTCATTATTTCAAGCATTTATATGTATTACCTCATAATATCTAATCACACCCATATTAGGTAAATGTCATTATCTCTGGTTTAAGAGAGATGATAAAATCAAGCCACCTATCCAAGGTCACAGAGTTCAGCAATCACACCAAGCCCAGGCCATCTGACCCAGAATTACCAAATAAGGAGCTCAGGCTCAGAGCTGGTGGTGGAGATCCCAGGTTTTCTACTTAGCCGCTAAGACTTTGGAAAAATTTGCTTACCATCTCCAAACTTGCATCTCTCTGCCTGTGAAATGCGGATAACTAAAGTGCCTAATTTGTAGGGTTATTGTAAAGGTTGAATGAGGTAGCATGTATAAATAAGAACTTTATACAGTAGCTGGCTCATTGTAAGAGCTCCATCAATGTCATTGATGCCATCATCTTCATCATTATTATTACTGCTGCCATGGCGTGGCTGATTTCCATCACATACTCTTGTTCACTTTTGGAGGCAAGCATGGCAAACCCTCCCAGCAAAGGCAAGTGCCTGCCTGAAAACCTTGGGTTTGCCTACTTTGACCCCACTGCCCAGCTTCACTCTCATCTCCTGAGATTCCTAGGCACTTTCTGCCAAAAAGTATGCCAAGGCAGGAAATCTAAGCTTTGAAAACTTTCCTGCTTCCACAAGGGCATGAGAGAGCAAAAAAAAAAAAAAAAAGCTAACTGCTTTTAATAAGTTATGTTTGCATTCAAAGCTGTGAGTCATTATGACCTAATGGACCTCAGAGGATATAAATGGAGTGTCTCCTTTCTCCTACTAAAGCCTGGGCGAGTTCCAGGCCTCTCAGTGACAGAAGCCTTGGCAAGCAGGGGACTCACCTCACAAGGACACTCTGTGGAAGGCAGGTAACATTTGCTCAGATTCTGAGACACTGACTTGGAGCTGAAAGAACCCCAGTGACCTCCCACACTTGAGACTTGAGACCTAATGCCCAGGAGTGAGGAGGGGTAGTGGGAGGAGAGGGGGTTCTGGCCTATTTGGGAGCGAATGTAGAATCTTGTTCTGTCAAAAAGGCTTACATAGTGACCTGTTCCAAATGAGTGGGGTAAACATGAACTGCTAGTTTAAAAGTGGTGGCAGACACAACAGAACACACCCTAGCAACAGGCATGGACATGAGAATGTGGTAAAGCAGTCAGCCCCAGCATGATCCAGAGCCACAGGGAGACACCCAGAGAGTCTCCAGTGAGGGGCTTCTTCTTTGCACTGTCTGAAGATCACCATAAAAGGAGAAAAGGACTTCTAAGTACCTGATGAGGACTTCCCTGAGTGAGTCACCCCAAGAGAAGTCACTCCTATTTACCACAAAAGGTGGGGCCACTTTGGGAGGCCAGTATCTCCAGTTGTTCCTGTTCCTAGAAAATGATGGGGTGCCTCAGATTCCAGCTTTGGGGTATCTCAAATGCTGGCCAAACACACATCTTAGGCCATAGTGGGCCCTGCTCCAAAGCAGGACAGTCATGTCAATAAGTATAGACAGTCCTATGTTGAAGGACACAGAGAGTCCTGCCTACTTCAGCAGGGTAATGACATACATTGTCCAAAAAGGCACCTATTTGGGGTCTGAAGATCTTCTGTTGCTGGTTATATGATCTTTGTCAAATCACTTAGCATCTCCTCTGGGTCACAGAATATGTCAGAATTGTTGTTCTACCTACAGGGCAAAGGTGGCACTTCAGAGTTTGGGAGCCAGGGGTTGGGTTAGAGATATAAACAGGAAGAGAAGAGGGTGTGAGAAGAGAGAAGAAAATTTCAAATGGTGGGAGTTTCTTTGTATTTCCAGCCATGAGATGTCAGGCCTTCCGGAGTGTTTGCATTTGGTTTGCATCTGACTTTATTCCTCTGTTAATTGGTCAGAACCTACTACATGCTAGTCTAGTTAAATAAGACACCCTCCCTAATATTGAAATACATGCAGCTGGTAGAATGTTTAAGAAAAAAATGTTACATAATACTGAGTCCAAGGCGTTCCTCAGAATCTCTAGAAATTCTTTTCCTGAGTGGCCTTGAATCATCCACCTTCTGGTTACCAGCAAACAGGCTATGAACAATGCTGATTAACTCTCCTTCATCCCCCAAGACACACTTATACCTGTGCCTCTCAGAAACTTGACTCCTGCTCTACATGAAGACTGTGTCTATGGGCAGCATCCAGTTCTGAACTTTGGGGGACCAATGCTGATGTTGAATGCAATGACCTATCACTAATGAACTTCGAGATCTGAGACAGGGCCCAGCTCAGTCTCCCTTCCTCCAAGAACCCTGTCCTGACCTCACCACTCCACCACCACACCCCAAGATCACTCCCTTTTTTGATCATGTGGCATTGTGTTGCTCCAGCCCTGTGGCACTCCAGGGAGCCATGGAATGTACCTTATCTTCCTGTTTAGAGTCCACGCTGCCTGAGGAGAAACAGTGTAGCCTCACACTTATCCCATAGAAAGCACTCCATACTGTTTGATAAATTTGAGGAAGAACAAAAAGAACTGTGTACATTTCATGGGTCAGAATGATTAGGAAAGCAGTCAGAGAAGGAGCGCAAATTTTACAACACATGCATGCATGCACAGTTTCATTTCCACAGCAGCAAGCCTGAGAGGAGTTAAGACCAGCTGCTCTTAGAAGAAAGGGGCCTCAGGAAGCTGGTCTGGAGCAAAGGGAAGTGCTGAGATCCTCATTAAGAGCCCAGAAGAATAGAACAAATAATCGAAGACTACCCAGAACACCCAAAATCCAGAGTTTTTGATCCCTGGCATAGCTACAGACCAAGGGAGCTTCAGAAAAGGCTCACTTGGTTAACTGAGAAATAAGCTGTTCTGCGACCTGAGGCAGGATCTCGGTTGCTTTGTGTCCTCGTGGCTGACCCTACCATTTGCAGATTTTTATGCACAACATGTCTGCCTAAATCATTAGCCCTTTACACAATCCAAAGTGACCTTCAGCAAGTAATGCCAGCAGGCTTGGGCCAGTGGAAGGGAATATTGGGTTTCTGGAGCCTTAATTATGTCTAATAAAACTTTCAAAATAATCCTGGTGTCAGTTGCAGCTTCATCAAGGTACTGTGTCTTCTGGGCTGGTCTCTTTTGGCTCCTAAGATTTGTCAAAGCCACCTTGAGTGTGGCTGCCACTTACAGAGTAAACTTGCTCTCGGAACTGAAAACAAGGACACAGGGGGAAAGGACAAGAACTCTCAGGCAGACCGGAAAGCAGAGTTTGTGAATTGGGGCCATCACCAAAAATCTGGCTGGGGTCTGGGGTTGTTGCATTGTACTTATAATCATGATTGCTTTCCAGTACCAAAAACTGCCCTAGAACCCTTACCCATTTTTCTTTACTTTACTTTACCAAATTTCTCCTAGTACATCTGAATTTGGGGTTCTGCATCAGTTTACACTATGTTTAAAATTCATATTATGTCTATACTGCTACAAGCATAGAACATTTTTGAAAGAAAACAGAAGAAAGTGTAGATGGTGTGTTTGCCTTTGAAAAGAGACATGGAGGATCCAGGATGGGAAGGAGACATTTTCCTGGTATAATCTATTGAAATATTTGTTGGAGATTGCTTTTCAACGTGTACATGAATCACTTTTCCAGTTAAGTATAATGAATTTCAAAGAGAAAAGCAGTACAACTACACTTTGTCTTGATATCTCTACTATATATTTCACAGGGTTTTGGCATTAAAATGTCAGGTTATAATACTGTGATCTTGGGGTTCTTGTCCTGTGTTCCTCCAGTGCGGGGGGTGGGGCATCCCAGAAGCTTCCATTCCTCACTCCATGACTTAGTCATCTATATAAGTTTGAACAAATGTGGTGGAGATAAAAAGATTACCATCTCACAGTGTTATTTGAGGACTGGCTGAGAAAATCCATGGAAAGCATTTAGCACATGGCAATGCTCAATAAAGACTTAATTTCCTCAATATATTGAGGTTTTTCCTTTGATCTATCTGTTAATACAAAGCCTCTTCATGGTTATAAAAGTAGGGAAATGACATTTCCAGACACCAGAAACATTGGAAACAGTTGGCAAGTGGCTTACAGAACTGGAAACAGTGACTCATTGGCATCTGGAATAGAGCTTTCCAGAACAATTCTCACTAACACTGGATAAAATCTATGCCTAAAAAAGGATGTGGGGGAGGGACCCTGGCAAGTAAACTACCCTTCCCAGAAACCTCTTTCCTTTGCTGCCCAGGAACACTGGGCCAAAGGTAGGCCTGGTGCTGTGTGCAGTGCAAATAGAGAGCTGTGAGGAGCGTGATTATACGGGATGCGGGACAAAAGTCTACTGCACTTCCTGATTGAGAACAAAAAAAGTACTTATAGAAAGTCAGAGTATGAGAAATGAAGCATATAAAGTTGCTAAATCCATTCCCAAGAACTTCTCTAGGCTCTCAGCTCTAGGGCAAGTTGTTCTAGAAACAGTTTCCCTATCTGTTGGGAATAAAATTATAGGCTATGAGCATGGTGTTTTTCAGTCTCTTCTGATACCTCTATCTGATAAGGAACTTTTATTTTCCCTAAGTTAAGCTGTTCTTGACATTGTACCTGGAGATAAGTTTCCATCTCTATGTTATCTTAGCACTTTTCAAGCTCTTAGATTTCATACTGGGTACCTCTAAAGGAGCACTTTCTACTGGTCTCTTGTTTGGGGTAGAGGAAAGAAGAGAAATTATGAGGAAAGTTTGATTCTTTTCTCTTGAATTTCTGCCAAGGTTTACACTTTATTAATTGCCACACAGATCCAGCCAGAGGGAAACATCAGTGCCTTACGCCCCACAGCTTCTGTACCACACACCCAAACACCAAAAGCTGCATGAGAAATAGCAGGAAACTAGCCAACATGAGGAGAGACAGAAACAGATATAGTATAGGAACGGCAGGACTGAGATGGGGACAGAGTGACCTACTTCAGTTTCCAAAGCCAGTGCAATAGATATTTACACTGGGCGAACAGTCAGGTAGTAAGGATAAAGTCCTTTTCAGATGAACTCAGAGCACAGAAGTGAACTCAGCTGCTCCAGGATCTGTGACAGGAGCTCTGCCTCTCCCTGGGCACATCATCTTCCCACCTTCCTCTCCCAAATGGACCGCAGCACTCACCTCCTTGTCTCTGCGGGCAACATCCAGGGAGACTGAGGTGTGGCCCCTGTGCTCACCCTGGCCACACTCCTGGCAAATGCACTGCCGGTCGGAGCAGCAGAAGGCGACCAGTGGGCTGTGGTGGGCCAGGCAGGTGCGCAAGTCCCTGTCCTTCACTGGCTCTGTCAGCTGGTGGCTGTGCAGTTTGCTGTTCTCCTGGTGTGGCCGCAGGTGCTCCTCACAGTAGTTCACCATGCAGGTCAGGCAGGACTTCACCGCCCTCACTCTGCTGGCCCCAAGGCAGAAGTCACACAGGATCTCTTCCTCTCCCTCGACACCAGGACCCCCCTGCAATGCAGTGCTAGTGCCCTCTCCCTCGATCTCCCTCTGGGGGCTCCCCAGGGAGCCTGTGTCCTCTTCTGCTGGGCTTGCTGACCCAGAGTCTGAGCTGAGAGTGGCCAGAGAGTGAGCGGGGATCCCGGGCAGTGGCCCTGGAGCCATCAGATCTAACTCAGCCATCTGGAAGGCTCTGCTGCCTAAGCTGTCCTTCCTCTGCTCTTTGGCCCAGGATCTGTGCAGCCCAAGTCAGACAAGAGAACCACGCCTAGATGATTGCAGCTGCCGCAAGATTTTAACTGTTTCCTCCCTCCCAGAGGAAGTTCAGTTAGTCATTACTCAGCTCGGGAACTGGATGGCAGCCAGCCGCGGTGACGACAAGGCAGCTAGATTACTCAGGCTCAGGACAGCCACTCAGGATGTCTCCCCACAGTCTCAGGCCCCTCCTCAGGTCTAACCTGAAACTTCTATTCTTATGTGAATCGTTCATCCCCTTAGGCTCAACAGAAGATCATGTGTGTCTGTGGCTGCTCTGGAAAGATTACTGAGCTCTGTCGTAAAAAGCCTGTATCGCTTTACATGATTTGGCAGGCTAAGTTTTTTGTTTTCGTTTTTTTAAAGTGATCCAAAATGTAAGGACTTCAGCAATAGGGCAGCCATTTATCAATTACTCTCTCATAGAATTGGACATGAGGCAGCTAGGATTAAGATACATTTTTCTGAATCTGACCTTTTCCAGGAGACAGGCTTTAGGTGATGTGCCCAGTGTGGTTCAGGAGGGTCAAGGAAAAACCTGTCTTCTTCCATATAGAGCTCTAGTCAGGCAGCCTTCCCAGGCTACACATCCTACCCTGTGGTTCCTAGAGAGGGGTGTATGCCAAGAAATAGCCCTTTTGCTTACTTAATAAAGTGTTCCTAGACATGGTGTATGAGCGTGCTTGGACTGTGATAACAAAATACATTGACTGGTTGGTTTCATTAACCTAAAAATAAAAGGCCAAATCAAGAGGCAACAAGCATTTATTTGAGATTAAAGAGAATAGTTCTTTGGGAAGCACTGATTTAGGCAGAAACCTGTGGAGATGGAAGAAAATTTCCTCTACCCTTTTAGGTTCTTCTGACTTGTCTAGTCAAATAGACATGAGACAGATTAAGAAGAGAAAATAACCAAATTTAATTACATATGCATGGGAACCCCACATATATGGAAGAGTCAGAGACCCCACATACAAGAAAAAGACAGAAAGAGAAAGTGAGGTATGTATGGCGTTCTGAGCTAAGGATAAGTTAAGGCACCTTGGAGCTTCAGAGAGGAAGAAGGTCATTTGCAGGAGGATAAGAAGAAGAGATGGTCAGTAAGTAGATGTTTGCCCTACCTTATAAATAGGTCATGAAAATTTGTCTCTGGTGATAACTTTGATTATAGGCAAGGCCCCAAATTTAAATTACTTAAGGGAGAAGTAAGTTTCTCATAAGACTGCAAGGTTTTGATTGCCTTCAGCTCAAAATTATTCACATGCCAAAGTGGCACATCTTGGGGAGACCTGTTCTGAACCTCTTTAAACCTAAATAGTTTTTTATTAGGGGGTGAAGGCAAGGGCTTTTTATGAGAAAAGGAATGGGAAATAATTATATGAATAGAAGGGAGGAATTTCTGAAGATACAAATAAGCTAAGTTACTCTTTAGTTATACATGATGATGCTAAATCTAAAGAATTTTTAGTTCAGTAGTCAAGACGCCTGCTTTCCTGTTAGCTTGCAAACAGTTATTTGAAATACAATGTTGGTTTGACCCAGTCTAAAGATTATTTTCCCCAGTTAAAACATTCCAAAGGTTGAAGTAGTAAGACATGCAAAGCTGCCCTGGCGCTATTTTTAAATGGCTTCAACTTATGTCAATTTTTCACAGTTTAACAACAGAAATGTACTTTCTCACAATTGTGGAGGCTGGAGGTCCAAGATCAAGGTGTTGGCCATGTTGGTTTCTTCTGAGGCTTCTCTGCTTGGCTTGTAGATGGCTGTCTTCTCTCTGTCTTCACATTGTCTTCCCTCTGTATATGTATATGTCCTACTCTCCTCTTCTTATAAGGACATCAGTCATATTGAATTAGGACCCACCTAATGACCCCATTTTACCTTAATGACCTGTTTAAAGACCCTGTCTCCAAATAAGTCAAATTTCAAGGTACCAGAGGTTAGGACTTCAACTTAAGAATTAAGGTGGAGGGGTGAGACACAATTTAGCCCAAAACACATGGCCAGGGGATGAGAAATGAAGTATGTAGCCCCTTAGAAGAAAGCATCACCTAGGCATCACCACTAGATGGGAGTACACAGCATACTTAGTATTTGCCAGATGAACACCAAAACACTCAGGGTACCTGGACCCCAACTCTGTACCCTACAGAAACTCTACAACTTTCTCCCAGGATTACTTCAGATATACTCATATGGATCTGGAAAACAAATGCAATAGAGAGATAATAAGGGAAGGGCCCTGGTCCAGCACACCCCTGGAATCAAGGATTGGGATGTCTCCAAAATATCACACTCCCCATAGCTCTCCACCCCTGCAGTAAGTTCTGCAAGATCTGTATTAAACCAGATAAACCAAGGGATGTTTCTTGTCAATGACCAGGACATTTCATAAATCCAAGAAATCCAGAGGCTGCTCAGAGTTGGAGAGCAGCCCTTTTATAGTAGCCCTTTTAAGCAATTGTATAAATTTTCCTAGGTATCCTTATTCTGACTACCCTCTTCCACTGCTGAAGATCCTCCCACCCCTAGAAAGATTTCCTTATATTTTATCTCTTTGTTTTTAGATCTCCAACCAGGAGGGAAATGAGCTGGCTTCTTCCAGTTGGCTAGACTAGCCTTACAGCTTTCTCTAATATTAACAGGACAGAGTTGCTTGCCTTTCAGAATGACCTGGTGCTGGATGCTGAACAGAGAGCCTTTGGTCGATCTGGGGAGGAGAAAGGGAAGACGGTTGCCTGCATGACCTGTTCCACAGCCTCAAGTGCCAATTAAAGTGCACTGATCCGGTCTAGGTTTCCTTGTGACCTCTCACTCAATTCCCATCCTTTCCCTTCCCATCTCTTTCCCACCCTTCCTCCTTTCATGAATTATTTCCCTGTCACATTGTCTCTACCACTAAACCTATAGGGCAACTTATGGGGATGCTCAGCCCTTTTCCAGTACCCCTTCAGAGCCCTTGAGCTATCTGAAGTTCCACAGCTGAATGGAAAACAGGAAATCTGAATTTTAATTCCCAGGCTGTCCTGGGGAAATCATTTGTCTTCTCTTAATATCAGTTTCCTTGTCCATAAATTAGCAGGTTGATCTAAGTCAAGGCTGGTAAATAGATTCCTGGTTTGGCTCTCCGGGGAACTGTATTGTGTCTAAGTTCATACCTGAGCTGAGTGAGACAGGGCACCTTGATCATATGCCCTAATTCCAGGAACTTCAGTGCATCTCATCGCGCCTCAAACTCCCTGTTCCACACTTTAGCACCAGGAGATTGAGGCTAACATCCTGTGTGTCTCAAACTCGAATTCCCCATTGAAATGAGTGCTCCAAAACCACCACCTTCCCTTGCCTCCCAATGCACCCTAGGACATCCCAATATTCTCAGTCTCCTCTTAGACAACTCCCTTTGTTTCCTTGACTAAACTGAAACTTGGCTTTCTCCAAAAACCCCATTTCTTCTTCACCTGGTGCTGTTCCTTCTCTCACCACCTATGTATCTCAGAGCCAAGGAGTCTTCCTCACTCCCCATCTCAACGTCAAGACCATCAGCCATCCCCAGCTGTCTTGTCAGACCTACTCCCCTGATGCTCATACCACTGATAATACCATCCTCTCTTCTACCAGCCTCCTGGTCATGCTCATTATTCATGGGAGACTGAAACTCCTGCATCACAGCCTACCTTCCTCTCCACCCAGGCTCTGATTCTCAGAATTCCACCTTCAAATGCTTCCTTCACCACTCCATAGCTGAGGTCTTTTTCCTCAGCCACCCTCCCCAGGGTCTCACTTGTTTTGTTTTTTAATGTGGTAAAATAAACATGTAAAATTTTCCATCTTAACCATTTTTATGTGTACAATTCAGTAGCATTAAGCACATTCACATTGTTGTGCAACCATCATCACAATCCATCTCCAGAACTCTTTTCATCTTGCAAAACTGTCCCATTAAACAGTAACTCCCTGTCCCCTCCTCTCCAGCCCCTGGCAACTACCATTCTACTTTCTGTCTCTATGAATTTGACTATTCTGAGCAACTCATGTAAGTGGAATCACACAGTATGTCTCCTTTTACATGCAGCCTATTTCACTCAGTAGTGTCCTCAAGTTTCATCCATGTAGCATGTGGCAGAATTTCCTTCCTCACACATTTTGAATTCACCAGAAATTTGTCTTCAGAATTATGAAATGATAACCCTACTCTCTGATTTTACCTATAGCTCACTTGCTTAAATGCCCTGCAGAAAAAAAAGTGCCTGCTTCAGGTTCATCAGGCATCTAATCTCACCGCTCCCCACCATTCCCTCTTTGTCATCTTTCCCCTTGTCTTCATTGTCTTCTTAGCTTCTTATAGACTCCACAGTCTAACATATTCTCTTGTAGCTGCCTTTCTTTTCACTTTCTACCCCCATCACATTCTCCTGACAACCCTAGAACCCTCGATGAGCCCCCACTACCCACTTTCGCTGAGTTGCACCTAAAAGCAAGGATTATTGGAACAAAATCACCAATCACACATAGTGCCACTGTAAGTTCAAGATCATTACCCTCAGTGGGACTCTGGCATTGCACAATCATCATGCTGTGTTTCTCTCTTCCCTCCTCAAAGACTGGGTTCCTCACTCCTCAACCTTTTCACTTCTTTTCATCTCCACCCTGTGCAGTGGATCCTGATTCATGCTTTACTGTGAAAAAGAAGCTACTAATTAGGAAATCCCTAATGTTCCCATGACCAGATCTACAAAGGTGCCAGCATCTGTAGCCTCTCCTCCATCTTCCCTCTTGCTGCAATGGGGGGAGTGTCCCTAGATCCGTTAAAGTCTAGTCTCTCCTCATGTGAGTTGGACTCCCCCCATCTTACCTCGTCAGGGACCCTTCTTCTTCAGTGATGCTCCTTCCTACACATTTACTCTGTCCTTCTCTACTAAATAGCACCCATCAATATGCAAACATACTCTAGTATCTTCCATCTTTAAAAACCTTTTCTCCTAATGCCACATGCCAGTCCAACTCAGATCTACAGGTCTCAGCTTCAATGTCCCTCC